GAAGTGTTCTGCCCATCGATCCCATCTCCTGGATTGAGAATGAATAATAAGACCATCGTTTTCCGAAATAGTCTCACTCACATTCTGGTTCCTAATACCGGTTTCCCTGATAAGTCTGAATAGTTGCCTACTGTTGCCTATTGCCAACGCCTTTTCCATCGTTGTTGCTTTTGCCACCCACCACTGTTCGCGATCGTTGCGTTGACTTTTTATCTGCCTGCGCGTAAGAGGATTTCGCTCTTCATAATGTTCAGAACCAGGTGGGGCAAGTTTTCGGGCATCCATCAGTTCGGTAGATGCTACTGAGATCCACGGCTTCTTCCTAGCCTTATGGTTGACCTTACTAGAAGATATCACTGCCATTTCCACAGCTTTTTGGATATCACTCCAAGCTACCTCTGGATGGGAATCACTTACATCGTCGCCTAACTGCCTTTCTAGTTGCTCCTGAAATATATTCATAGCTCTGCTATCATTAGGTAGAACCCTAATAGGTTTTCTGGCGGTGTCTTTCCTACGTCCAGTAAGTCGCAAACAAATACGCGCTCGCACTAGAACACGATCTGAATCTAGACATGTTCCCCAGAACTAGCTACAGTCCTCTGTCGAACCTCTCCATCAGTGGCTGATGGCAATGCGATCTAGTTGGGTCCAGCACATGCTTCTGATGTCTGCCTCCGATTCCCTACTTAATGTGTCATTCAGTCTTCTGCTTCGATTATGGGTCATAAAATAAGTAGTAGCATGTGAATTACTTTCCAACTTCCGGATATTATGAATGATCTCAATGGGCAAAGTAAAACTATTTAGATTTTTAAAATTCTCTGTTGATATATACATGAGTAACTCAAAAGTGTGTATATTTACAAGTGGATGGTATTTTAGCTAATGCATAGAATCAAATTGAAGTATTCCCATTGTATCCGATTAGGGGCATGTTATCAAGTGACAATAACACATAAAATACGAATCTTCACAAATGGTAATAGTGAATATTTTAATCATTGAACATAATAGTGTTTATTGTAATTTAATAGACTGTGGTATAATAATGTTTCATAAATTAAGTGATAGAGTTTTATTTGTTAGCTCAAGCATCAACATATTTATAAAATCACTCAACCAATGAATTAAACTTAGGCTGAAATACATGTCCTGAAGTGAACTACTAGCTAAAATCTATAGTAAAGTGACCGACCAATGTTTCATGAAATGTGAGGTTTATTTCATGCATAAAAAAATTTTCATTTTAATGTTTTCTAATTATATTAAGCTATATTTATTTTTACAGCTTAGTTAAATAAAATACTTACTATCTGTATATTATGAGTGTTAGTTAAATTTTACGAGGAAATTTGTACTTTAAACTCCATGTACTTGACCTTGTACAGTTACAATAACAGTTTTTTATATTTTAATATGGAACCAGAACATATGTATGTGCATACGTGTTCATTTTGTTTCATTGATTAGTTTGTTTTTAGATAACGTGTACAATATCTTTATGAATTAAAAACTGATTACCTGATATAGTTAGTTTATTCTGTATGCATTTGCAACTTCAACTGGTTATTTAAAACAATATCATTCCTTGGTGTGCTGGATTTTCCATTGAGTTCAGCAATCACTGATTTTAGTTACAAATCCGTTGAGAGCTAGGAAACATTAGACAGCTGTGTTTTCTTAGTAAGGGACTCATTGGTAGTGCGTACCGACGGCTCCACATTGAATTTAACCAAGGATATTCGGGTTTCGTGCTGTTGCGTTTAACCTCTAGTCATTTTACGGTTGTGCAAGTACATTTGCATGTCATTGATGGTTAACTGCTTCCTACTCATGTGCTTACCAGTAAGAATTTTCGAGAAGTAATTTATGGAGTTTTGATAGGAGTTGTGACCACTGGAGTCCAACCATATTGAGGGTGAGGCGATTTCCATCAATAATATTAAAAAGTAGTTGCGTAACATCAGAGTTAAACATATCTAAATAAGGTAAGGCTCTTAAGTGGTCTAGAAGATGAGAGATCGCCACGAGACGTGTAGGTTCTATCTCCGTTGGTGTTAGGGATATACATTGATGTGAAGTAATATACTAGGATGAAACTGCTATCGTGTTTTCTGATTTTCAGTCGTTATTTACTTATGACCAATCAGTCTGACGATCTCCACAACCCCTCTTCAAGACGGAAACATTATGAAGCAGGACATATCATGCCAGTGTCACTTTGGACGAAGTCATGAAGTATCTTGTAGTATTTGAAAACTACGTACACCTTTCGGAACATAATTTTTCGCCCACAGAAATTGGCCATAATTAACATGTGCATACGTTTATTGGGATTTAAATGAATCTTTTCGGTTATAAAAAACTATAGGCTAATATCTGATTAGTACCTATATCACATATTGCTCAGTAATTATCATAAGTTCATTGTATTTAGGATTATTTTAGAGATCGTCATATTTACTAATCAATACTACATTTTTAATTCCAGAAAATAAGTATTTTTTTCTGTTTGATTAGCACATTTTCTTTTACAGAATTTATATTGTCATAGTAACGAACAGAAGAATGAAAGGCGGATCTTTAAGGCTTAAATTCATTGCCAATTTTTATTACTTTGCTTTAACAATAAATTAGTTTTTTTTCCTTGTATATTGGCATTATAGTAAATTAGAATTTTACACACCTAGGTAATGGAAAACACATTGTATTCAGTTTGATATCAGCAAGAATGTCTTTGTGATTTTGTTGACTAATCAGCTAAATCATGTCGTAGGAACAGATTAACTTATTATTTAAGGTCTGTCCCTCAAGAATTTCTCATGGGCAACAATATATCTATTGGGATTAACATTTAATACAGATTAACAGTTTGAAAGTTCAGTAGTTAAAATGGAATTTCATTTTTTTTTGGTAAGTTAAGGACTGATTATAAGATTAAGAAAATATCTTATCTGCTAAGACCAAGATATATCAACTGTGTAAAAAAAAGTAGTCAGTCACTAGTGTAGTTAGAATTTCCAGTTGTAATAAAAGTGAGTTTTCAATAAGAACCTTTGAACTATCGTGAATACACTGAAGAAACCTTGGTGCAGAGATGCACTATTTACGAAATGAGGAGGTTAATAACACTCATAAATTAATTCCATTTTGAATTACATCAGTAAACCCTTTGATGATCGTGCCGTTAGAATTCAATGTTATATAGCGTAAAACTCTTAGATAGTAACAGTTCAATTGCTGGAAAACAATGAAGTTTACTGGTTTATAGAGTACTGAACGAATCACTTAATGCAGCTGGATCGATGTATCGAAAATAACACTAAGAACTAGACGTGACACTGATGATTACAAAGTTATCAACTAGTGATCAAGTACCTCAGTCCTACAGATTAGTTGTGTATCGATAAGCTTACTTGAAATGTTTCTAATGAAAGAGATTTGAATCTGATGGACAAGCAATAGTTAAGCTAAGATAGCAGATACACCTATCTGGAATGTATCAATTAATATAAAGCCAAACTTAACGGTTGGAGTTAATTACCTCTAGTCATCTAATACAATTATATATTTTTTACTATATAGTTTTGTTACTATATGAGGTCTGCTACGTTATATTTAAACTATCAGTTCATAATGGTATTATTTATGCTATACGATTAAACTTGAAGATGCTAATTCTTAACACTATCCATTTTCACGACAAACTATTTGGGAAACACATCATCCATATAAACATACACTTTATATCTAATCCTCACAGCGAAAATATTCGATTTATTCACTCTTGTCTGCTTTCTGTACTGTAATTTATGATTTATTAAATTATAACAGACCTAATAGTTTTTCAAATGATATCAGTTAATGATCAAAAATAATTCATAAAATGAAAAACGTTTTTACAAATCATATATTTGTTATACTACTTGAATTGTAATTATTGCTATCGACTGCATTGAGTGAAAAGAATAAACAGTTGACATGTTAACTTGAAGAAGTACTGCACAGTACAGGATAAAATGAAGGCATGTAAAACATTATACATCAATTTGTAACTTGAAAAAACCAAACGAACATAGGAAAGTGAATTTAGTTTAGAGAACAAGATACATGATTAGACATAATCCAAACTGAGAGTAAAAAAATTCAAGAAGAAAAAAAGATTGAATGATAAGTTAGTCTGATAAAAGGAGAATGTCGAATTGTTAAATGGAAGCGAGAAAATTAATATCTGCTTAGTTTTAAATACATTAATAAAATCGTAGTTAAGTGATGAGACACGTGCTAAAATAAATAATAATAACTTCCTACTACATTGTTTGGCACTCGATTTGATAGCGTTTTACTAGATATTCTAGTCAAGGAAGCGCATTAGCAAGTTAATTTGACGCATGAAATTAGAATATTCAAATTTCAAAACAAAATACGAGAAATTTTTGAGAAATTGTTTTCATCAGTTTTATGTCGGAAGTGCATCTTCGACAGAATAAACATCAAAACCTTGATACTTTTGAAATATTAATATCGTAGGTAAGAATGTCTAATTTAAAGAACACCATGATCAAATGTATCTCCTTGTCAATCAGCTAGTTTTTTTTCATGCCATGATGAATTGAACTAATCATTGGGGTATGATTAGTTCAATTCATCATTAAACGACATGTCTGAAAATCATTTGCAATGGCGCCGGTGCATCCACTCTTTGCATTCTCTCAAATTCTAATCTGCTGAATTCCTCATTACATCTCTATTTCTCTTTCTAAATTTATCTCCGTTGCCTCTAATACTTCTACTATCTTTACGGGATTTAAAATGACAATTACGTCTCTGTGCTAGTGTGGTATGGCAACCTGAACTTATGTACATACGTACGTATGTACGAAGTTCTACGTTTTAACTCACATAACCTAACCTGAACTAATCATTCAATATACAGTTTTTCTGAATGAAACATTCCATGTAATTATCCCAAAAACATGGTAATAGAAAGGGGATAATTTTTAAAGTACCCAATTATTTTAAATAAAATCAAAATGAAATAAATTTTTTACAAATAATAACCTCTAAATTGTAATCATATCTGTTTTTGTGTAAATTAATACAAAAACTCATTGTTTTATTGCAATTAGAAAAAAAAACAATAAAATTAATTACACAGAACTAATTAAAAAGTTTATTAATAGACCAGTTGTTTTTTTTGTAATCCTATTGCATGATCATTCATATATATATATACACTCTTAGAAATTTCAATTAACCAATTAAAGTTCTTGATTTGGTTGGTAAACATTTTGGTTGGGTGGATTTGTAATTGTAAACCACATACAAAACTGCTCCAAAAGTACTTGTGACAAAGAATGGATGACACATAGAAAAAGAAAAACAAAAAGTAATTTTTGGAAAGAGAAATTCAGTAGTATCTTTTATCTTTTAAATATATATGCAATAGATGATATTATAACATGTTTTTTTTTTCGTACAATAAAACATGGGAATTTTTTGTGGATATAAAATTAGTTTTATTGGTTTAAAATATTGGATAAATTTATTTGCCTGGTGTAATGAAATTAAAGTATACACGTCATTTATAGACAGAGAGAGAGAGAGAGAAAGACATTCTCTGACTGATTAGAAAGTATTTACAAATGTGACTTGGTAAAAGGAAAACGCAGATATCTAAAATCCTGTATCTTAAAATTTGTAGCAAAGTATATTGCACTACTGGGTTGTGAAGATTGTTAAGTTACACATTTTCGAAACCATGAATCGATCAGTGCTAGAACACAACTAGGAACCTGGAAGCACTGGACGGTCGTTTCGTCCTGGTATGCAACTCATCAGCAGTGCGCACCCACAACTCCTGCACCCCGCAGGATTCGAACCCAGGACCTTCGGTATTGTAGGCGAACGCCGAACCATCGGACCACTGAGCCGGTATCTAACGGTGTTAATGTCTAATTTGATCGATTAACGGAGTTGCGCAACTTCATACACAGTCTTCGGTAGTTACTGTCTACACCTGAACAGGTTGAACTTCACTGGTCACTTCTTCCCACTAGAACACGGAGAAGATTCCTCACCAAGCTAGTCACTAGTGAGCACAGGTAATTTGCATTACGGGGTTGTGAAGATTGTTAAGTTACACATTTTTGAAAGTATATTGTTGAAGTTTCCAATTCATTTTCGCGATTGTATTCAATCTACCGAAAGAGATTTGCTTAATAATTCTATGAACTGGAAAACCAGTAAATTACATAGAATCTATGCGGAAAACCTCGAATTTACCCCGGTAATCTTTAAACCATTTTATGACTCAGAGTAATGTGACAATTTTCTATTCTTTCTATATGATGTTACTTTTCTCTCTCTCTCTCTCTCGTTTATTTACGATGATCAGTTTATGCTTATTTGAACTTTTATTTAATTGACCTTGACAAGTATATGTGTGGCCAGATTGTATGGCGCAAATATTTCACATTTTTCAGATCGACTAGGTTTTCGCATTGTTTTGCTGACATTTATGAAAAGGGACTAATTGTTTTGAAAACAATTTGCCTGATTAGTATTATTACTATAGTTGTTTAAGATAATGTTGCATTTTCCTTTACAAACAATCTCTTCGTCTTTAATTCGTTACATTTGGAACATTTAAAATTCAAAATTTCTTATCGATTCTATTATTATTACTGTTATAGTAATAATGCCGTCACATTCTCATTCATTTATAAATATTAGAAAAAAATCTCACAAAGATCTTTCATAGGTGTATAGTTGAATTATTTGACAAATTAGTCTTATAGATATTTTCTAGTCGGTCAGATGATGTATTTGAAAATTTATTCATTCTATTGATATAAAGCTGAACTTTACAAAATTTTAATTATTATAAATTATAAGCAAATAAATAAAACAAACTTGTCTTAAAATTATATTTCAAGTGAAAATGGTTGTTCTATAAAATTTAAATATTTATTTTAATACCTTATCTAAAAATCTATAAACCAGAGACTATTTTGAAGTGTAAAATAAATATTCTGTATGGTGAAGAAAGTTAGGGGCGGCCAAACCAAAACATGGTAGAAATTTATGAAGTCGCTGACAAGTGGACTGAGTCATGTTGGTAGATGTAGGCTACATGGTTGGGGTCAGCGAGACGAAAGTCACCGATTGTTAGAGACCTTGAATGACATGGCTCAAAATCGTTTGCAGTGGGGCAAGTGCATCCACTCTTTGTGTTCTCTCAAATCCTAATCTTCTGGATTCGTCAACACCCTATTCTTCTCTTTCTAAACTTATCTCACGGAACTATACTTCTTGAATAATATCTTCGATCCCTAATATTCTCCGTTGCCTATAATTCTCCCGCTATCTCCATCATTATCAGATTTGAAGTGACAGTTGCGTCTCTGTGCTAATGTGGCCTGGCAAACTTAACTTATGTAGTGAAACAAACATAATTTGGCTACTCATTGTTGAGTTTTGGACAATACACGGTCAGATATAATCTATCATCTTCTTTTACCAAGTTGAATTCATTTTGTAAAACTCTTTATCAATCCATACTTCATTAATATATTATAACAACAGATAAACTATATGATGTACTTGCATCTAACACCGAGTTTATCTCAGTGATCAGTATGAAAGAGAAATGCTTTATTCCATTTTTCAGTTTGGTGATAATTAGGATTAAGTAATTATCAAAACACAAGGTGTAGTATACGATCAACATTACTGACAAATGGAATCACCATCTTGAAAATATACTAAAGATGCTAATCAGATGGTTAACTCTCGGAAGTGGTATAGAAATTATTTTCTTGTAAATGGGTTTAGTCAAACCCATTCATAGCATTATCAGGTTAAACTAAATCGAAATTCCTAAGCAATGAAACCACAAGCAAATGAGGGGGGGGATAAAGTGGAATAAAAGTAATTACATCATAAATAAAACATACCTTATAGTAAGACCAACGAAATTAAGCGTTGTATACACATAGTCACCACCGACAAACATCCCACCATAGGTCACTAATATATTCTATTCAAAAATATGAAAATTAGAAACAGATTAGAAAACCTTTTTCAATCAATTAGTTATGAGTAAGAACTCACTCTACGAACTTTTTCCCCTTTTTTATAATCCTCTTTTTATTACAACCCAGCTATTCATAATGCTTAGTAATCTAGGACACCAATTCCCTCGAGACGTTCTCCCAAATCAGAACATGGTTGAGCAGGAAATAGATTATACTACAATAACAAGGTTCGATGGAAGACAGAGAAGTCCGAAACATTAGTATACTCATAATTTTTGCATTAGAAGATTTTAGAATGTTCCCTCAGTATCGATTAGCGCTGATTGGATACGAAAGAGCCAATCAGCGTGCAACAACGCAATCATGCTTTAATCCAATCTATGTCTCACTAACACCCTTTTACTTAAATTCAATCTTCATCAAATGGATAATTATCTGTCTAAATTATTGTTAATTATTATGATTACTATTTAGAACCAGCTAATTTTCGAAGAATCATTGAAATTCATATTCCTTTCTTTAAATTAATCATACTTATTATAACAAGTACAATATAACACTGAAACAATTGTACATTTGAATAAAGTTAACTTTGTTTTACAACGAAAAATATAACTATTTCTTCGAATAAAGTGACTTACTTTAATAACACCTAAAATACTAGTTGTTAATGCAGAAGTATATTGAGTACATTGGACAAGAGTATAATTTAATGCCACAGCAGAACAACACGAGAATATAAAATATAATAAAAATAACGGATTGAACCAATGTTCAAATTGAATAATCTATAAATAGAAAAAAAACGAAAGATTAAAACAAAACAAAACTATATAAGATTGACAATGTTTATAGTAGTATATTTAGTCGATTCATCAAAATGATGAGGAATATGTATGAGTTGAAGTACTCATTGATATTTTAAGGGGGGGGGGGTGAGAAATCTTTTGAGAAACTTATTAATAATAATCAGTTAGTTTTCTTGCAGAAAAAAAATTCATTGAATTACAAACCCGACCAGTGACATTTCAATTATTGGAAGATTAAGATGTTTCCTTCCAAGATGACAATGTAAAACTATTTTATATTGTATACCACAAAAACTTCAATAAGTTTTTAGTCAATTTTACAATGATAAGAGTATGATGATAACATTGAATAATGAAATTCAAGATGTCAGATATATATATATATATATATATATATATATTATTGGTAATGAATTTGAAATTGACAAATCAACACAAAAGGCACAAACAATAAAAATGCTTGAAATACTTAACTATTTTCTATTCTAGTTATCTTTTAGATTGACTAACTGATTAAAACTACCTAATAGAGTTCAATTCAGCAAATTTATTACCGAGCTGTGCAATCGTGTTTATATTTATGGAATATTTTTAAGTATTAATTCGATGAGGACATATAGACGATGAATAAACATAGCGATGTAATAGAAAGATTATAATACTATATCATGTAGTGTAAATAATAAAAGATTATGTACAAACAAAAAAGCCTGTAAAATTATGGTATAACAATCATGTGCTCATGAGTTATTAGCTTCACAATGCATTTATCCTTGGAGTTCTAGTGAGGAGTTGTGAACGAGACCGGAATTCCTGGGTTTGAGCCCTGTTTACAGGGTTTGTGGATGCGTACTGCTGACGAAGCCCCTACTAGGACGAAACGGGTGTCTGGTGCTTCCAGGTTTTTAATGGTGGCCTAGTTTACATCGGTTTGTGATTTCAACTATGAAAATTAATAATTACTTAGCAATGGATTATAATGCGTATACCCAATCTTTTATTGTTATTATTTACACTATATAATCCAGTATTATAATCTTTCCATTATATCATAATGTTTATTCATTGTTCGTATGTCCTCATGGGATTATTACTTTAAAAAAAGTTCACATATATTTACGATTGTACAGCTGGATAATAAATTCGTTGAAAAGAGATCCCTTGGGTAAACTTCGTGTTTTTAACATTTGAATAGTGTAATCCCCTAGGGAATGAAGCCAAGAACCTTAAGGAAACGATTTAAGAACACATTTTCGGTGAACATAATCCTTTAATAATTTATGAAAGTAGATAACTTGTGTGTATAGAATTTGAAAAAATGCTTTAAAACACATAAAACGCAGTGCCTAAAGAAATCTACGCGGCTTGAATGTCACTTCGTAACTTGAATTACTTTTAAGGTATATATATGAGCGTTGCTTGTCAGTCAAATTCATTTTATGCATCCAAAATGACAAAGGAAGAAAAATCAAATATCATCTACAAAATAAATTGCTCAAATTGTGGAAAACACTACATAGGAAAAAGTGGACGGCCTCTTCAGCTTCGTTTGCGTGAACATCAATTAGCAGTCAGACTTCACGACAATTCTTCGCTTATATCGATCAATACACACCGACAATTATGGACATACATTCGATTGGGACAATGTGGAAATACTGGATAGGGGGATGAGAAAGAACAATAGAGAATTTTTAGAAGCCTGGAACTCAGGTCAATCAGCAATCAACAAACACACCAACACTGACCTAATTCATTAACTAATCGGAAAAACCATAGGCAAACATAGGATCACGTAACAGATCAAAAGGGGATAAAATAAAGGCGCAAACAAAGACAGGTGTAAGCTCAATAACAACCAATCAAGATCGAGGTTAACAGAACAAACTACGGGTCAAACGTGGAGAAATTCGAATGCCTCACTTCTATCTGAGGTTTGTGTTGGTGTTGCTCAGACGAACAATGAGAGCTCCATGACCAAAACATTCAGCTCAAAGAACGAAACTCCACCATAATCGTAATGTTTAGTTTCTGTTCATTGCCATTGTTACTTCGATTATTCCGACTTTTTCGTAAATTCATTTTATCATGTTGATATGGCATGGGAACTGTAGTTAACTTGCACTTATGAAAGGAGTTTGTTATGACCTACTGAGTGATAATGAATTCAAAACCTAACTATATAAACTTTTGTCGTAAGATACAGTCTTAGTCATTCCACTTAGTTATCGAACCATATTAATTGGTGAAACTGTGGGGATTTTGATGGAATATATTACTGTTAGTAACAAAGACTTTATAAAACATGCTTTCTTTAGAACTTTCAGTAACATGAGACAAGGGGAAACAAGGGTTCTTGTTCCTGTTTCCGAACACCCTCTACAAAAATAATGACAAAAGGATACAAATGTATTTAACAATGAAATCACTCGCTGCCTGCTCGAGAAGGAACATAATGGTAACATATTGGATTTGGTCAACATAGTCAATTAGTGAAAAAGTTTAAATTTAGTGCGCTTTGCCAGAGCTTCGAGAGTCAACATGATTAGATTAAAGAAATTAATGCATTCAGAAGGATACTATTATTAATCTTGGATCAACCTGACGTTCCCAGTTATCAATACTCAATTACCTCGTACATTAGTGCATGTTTTTATAAGATCCCGTTGAGAATGATTCCTTTATTTTTTTTTCTATTTGAACTCGGTTTCATTTTACCTTTGTAATTAGTCTTCCGACACAGTTGTGATTAAGTAATCTACGAAACTAATTTTCCACATCTACAAATCTACTGTTTTCATGTGCCTCTCAATTGTCTTATCCACAATATTCACATATCTCATATATAATTAACCACGTGCATGTTGATGATTAATTTTTCAAGCCTAATTCGGTTCCATTCATCTCCATCTATGTCATATAATTTGATCAATGTTTTTGTATACATTTAGTTGAATTACACATATGTTTCTTTTAAAGCAAATGATTCTATTTTTTTATTGGAAATGAGGCAAACTATTCAATACTAATATCAAATAAGTATCATAGCCGTAATGGTCAATTAAAAATTACATACCTCTGTAAAGTCACATTGTACATATACTAAAATGAAGAGAATTGGCAGCATCAATAAGGAATTAAAGTATATGAGCTCAAGGCTTGAAAAATCATAATCTCTAAGTCTTGATTTTGTTAACAGTGCTTTTCCAGTTGTTGATATATTATTAATTAGAATGTATGTATATCCAACAGGGTCAAAAGTAATATCACCACTAAAATGGAATGTTTGTAAATAATCATGAGAAAATAACTTACATGGCAGCAATTACTGCTCCAATAACCATAACAATGACTGATAAGTAAATAGGAATACTTCTTTTAGTCCTATAAGATGTTCAAATTATGGAGAAACAAGCAGTTACCCTAGCAAAAGATATTCACCAACCATAATGAAAACGTTAGAAATCCTTCGTAAAGCCGTAAACAAAGGTAAACTGAATTACATAATTTGACAATAACATAAACTACCTAAGACTTCCTGTACCAGCAATACCCATAATAATATCAACTGCAGAAAAAATGGACAGCGGTAAAATCTACATTAAATCACCATCTCAAAATTTATTTCAAATAACATGCTTTAATAGGAATTTCTGTGAAATCATCTGATCGGATGCGAGATGAACATAAAGTTTGTATTATTACGAAAGTGAACAGAGTCTAAAAGGAAAAGTTAAGGATTTTCAAGAAAGGAACCGACTTGAATTAATGCAAGTAATAAATATGAAGGAAATCTGTTGGATGAGATTATGGAAGAGCAGGAACTCACTTGAAAGTAGTCAGGACTAATTTGTTGGAAAAAATGATAGAAATAGAAAAGCCCATATATAACATGGCAACCAAAGCAATCCTCCGTATAGACATTATGATGGTCCGGAATTCGATAAACTGTAATTTCTTATAAACTTATGTATTAGAAACTGGAGTTTGGTTTATCTTATTATTTAAAATATGCAGGCTGAAAAAAAACAATTGAATTTGCACAATTAAATATAAGTATTGTAAGATTAGTTAGTAGATATTTAGCATAATTTTCATCAGTAATTTATTTAGCCCCACTAATAAAATGACGGGCTAATCAATGATCACGAAAAATATCGACCCAATAGTCAAAAGAAAAATTCAGTCAGTCATCTGCAACGTAGAACTTCGTACGTACGTACGTACATTAGTTCAAATTCTCATACCACATTGGCACAGACAGATAGAATTGTTAGTTAGTAGTAGAGGTTGTAGCAGTACTAGCGTTAATGGAAAAGATTAGGGATCAAAGATATGGTTCCAGAGGTATGTCCGAGTGAAATAAATTTAAAATTGCAAAGAGATCATGACGAATTCAGAAGATTAGAAGTTGAGCGGAGACAAAAAACGGAATCAACTACGTCATCGGAAACGATTTTTAGGCATGCTACCGACAGATATGACCGGTAAGAATTGAGGATATTGGTAGGTAATTAGTATTCGATTATAGATGTCTTCGAAGCATTGCCCATGTATCCTCGGACAACTGAGTAAGCAATGCTGTCGTTAGGAAACGAGTACTTGGTAGGAATGGCAAATCAATAGATGAAGTATTGAAACTTCATCAGTTGAGGTGGTTGGGACATGTGTTACGAATGCCTTACCACCGACTGCCTCGACAAGCTATGTTTTGTGGTGTAGGAATAGATTGGAAGGAAGCTAGGGGCAGCCAGACAAAAACATGGCACAAACCCATCAAGTCATTGACAAGCGGACTGAGTCATGTCGGTAGGTATCGATTACTTGGTTGGGGCACGCGAGATGATAGTAATCGATGGTTAGAGACCCTGAATAGCGCAGGGTGCATCCACTGTTTGTGTTCTCTCAAATTCTAACCGTCTCAATTCCTCATCACTTTACCCATTTCTCTTAAGTTTATCTCACTAAATTCTACTTTTTGAATAATATCTCTCAGATTACTGCTAATACCTATACTACCTCTACTACTATGGGATTTGAAGTGACAATTGCGTCTCTGTACTAATGTGGTAAGGCAAGCTGAAATAATGTACGCACGTACGAAGTTCTATGTTGTAACTGACTAACTGATGCCACTCCAAGTCTCTAGTTGCTGATTACAATTGTCTACACCTACTAACACGTCTCAGTCCAGTTGTTGGTGACTTCATTGATTTGTGCCACATTTCGGTTTGGCCGTCCCTAGCTTTCTTTCAGTCTAGCCCTACACCACAAAACATAGCTCGAAGCAATTAGTGGTTAGACATACGTAAACCATGTCTTAACCACTCCAACTGATAAAGATTCACTAATTCATCGATTGATTCTCCATCCTTAACAAGTACTCTTTTTCTAACGCCAACATTTCCTACGCTGTGGTCTGAGGATATACGAGCAATGTTTGTAAGACACTTATGATACTAGTTGGTGTTCACCATAAATATGTGGTCATCTGAGCATCGTTGTAGCGGGCAGTCTTAATTATCTCTTCGATGAGCCGCAACACCATGAGATCCACCTAAGTGCCTTTTGGTTTCGTTTGGTCTACCTACTTGAGCATTAAATCACTAGTCACTGTTACTACATTAGAACGCCTAGTATTTTGAAGGTTCGAAAGCTTTCTGTAAAATCTGTCTTTTACCTTGTCTGAGCTGTCATCAGTTGGAGCTTTGGCAGAGACAGATAAGAGGAAACGACGAGTATCCCAAACCTTCCGGGTTATTTCTGTCCCGTCTAATAGAACAGCACACAAGCGACTGTTTACTGAAATCCATCCTAGGAGAGCTAGTTCCGCTTTAAAACTCAATGCTATACCTACACCAGCGAGGTAATGGGAAGTAGAATAGGTGTCTCTAGATACACGAAGGATAAGTCGTGATTGTTCTTTATTTAACAAGATGAGGTCAAATGAATAGCTGTACTCGGATGCCGTATGCACGTTTTGGAGATGCATACACCAGTGACGCGAGATTCTAGCTCTAGCTAAGGAAGCTTGGCGTCTTATTTGATACAAGATACGACCATTTAAAGGTCCAAAATCTAGTTCAGATTTTGATTTCCCACATACACAGTGTCCCAGTTATATTCGGTTGTGCAGCGTTTCATTCAAGAGGACACTTGGCAACTTTCATTAATAACCATAGCCTATGGTTTAACTCGAGAAAATTCGGCTTCGCAAATACCAAAGCTCTTTTGGGAGTTTAGTTACTGAGTATTCGTTTTTGAATAAAACTCGTCAGCATGCTTCAGGCGACAAAGTCACAGTTTTATTTGTACAAAACTAATTACTATTTTGTAACGCTTGATTCCCCAAAAGTTTAGTGCTTAAATAAAGCCAAAAAAATTCACGACGACTTATTAAAATAACCACAACCTTTGTATTTTCAGTCAGTAGTCGCATTACAAATGAAAAATATAACTCCAAGGACCTAAATTCTAAAGCAGACAAAATATATTTTGCCCGATAAGCTTTCATCTGCATGGTAGTATTGTTTTTCTTAACCCTGATAACCTGTTGAAAGTATGTATTGCCCTGCAGAACATCGTGACAGTACACTCAGACTTGTCTTCAGATTTTAAAAAACTTATAAAAATTGTGAATAACATAGCATTTTAGTCAACAGTGAACAGTACTTCTGATCTATCGGAGTTTCGCTTTCCTGACTACTGAGAAAACTGGAGAGCCTAGAAACATGTCTTCTACAAGTCAGGGACAGATTCGCAGTTTAAATGTTTATTGAGCCTTAATTTCGAAATTCACATGCTGATCGATAACGGAAAAAACTTAGAAAAACATTGGGGCATTATAACAGACTTCGTAAATGATACAAGTGATAAGCAAAACAAGCGTTATCAAACGAGAAAGGATAAGGTAAGCGATGATTTTTACAGATAAAATTTTCGTCTCCGTTTCCCAGGCACATCAGATGCTTTGTGCAACTTGACTAAAGATTAGTTTGTCTTGTAATCTATGATAATTAAGTATTCGGAATTAGACCTAATCATAACTATATTTGTTTGTTACATGTTGAAAGCATGAATAAAGTATTGTCGGATCACCATTAGAAACCTGGAAACATTGGAAAGTCGTTTCGTGCAAAGTTGGGACTATTCAGCTGGAGTAAAGGAAAATTTAAAGGCTATTAGGGCAACTAGTGAAATACATAGCGTATGTGTAATCTACATTCTAAGTTAGCTTTGATTCAGTCGGATCGTACACTTTTCAGGGAGAATTTAGGAAAATATTACACAACTCGGTCTGAATTTAAGCGGGAAGTGGACTACTTGGTAATCGAGACGGTGTGAATTCAAAAACTTTTTGCCTTAAGGAAGAAATTCGGAGAAAACGGCTCTTTATATCCCCAGAATAGAGGAAGGGCGATTTTCGTTCGCGATTTCGCCTGGATATATACTGAATTTCTGCAGCCGATGTCATCTGTATATCCCAAAGTTTGCCTTTATCTCCCCATTCTTGTTCATTTAGGTTATACTATAGACCAGTCTTTAGACGAACCTTTACCTCTCTATAATTATTTGTTGAAAGAAATTTCATTACTAAAATATATTAAAGTCTTTTGAAATGAATTGTCGTGAGTGAACTGGTTTAAATATTTCTTTTGATAAATCGGCGAACATTTCAACGACTAACATATGATAAACTTAAAAGAAACATAACTTTTAGAGTTAAGCAAACAACACCAATGAACTTTTTAAAACATAGAATTACAACAAGAGTAGACATTTCAACATGAGTTAGGAAACCTCTCTTACCTTCGATGACCACCATAACTAAACAATATTTTGTATTACGCGGACTGGTAATACCTTAAATTTTGATTCTAATAGTCGGGTAAACAAATTATATGTACAGAGATAATACATGGCAATATCTGAGCGTGAAAACAATCATTTTCAAAGTTTATTATCTAATGCATTCCAAAGACTGAGAAAAGCAAATACTAAAAGGAGGTGATAAGGAGGATCCAGTCTGTTAAAGACCAATCGCATGACCGTTAATACTATGGAAGATAATGGAAGGGCTAGTATGTGAGAAGTTGAAGAAGTAACTGGAAAAACATTAAATTCCACATAAAGCCGAGCAAGGGTTTCGGAAAGGCAGGTTGTGCGAGTACAAACTTCACAAAGCGTGGGACAGATGCACAACCTGCTGGGACAGGAAAATACCGGTTCATAGACTTAGCGAAAGCTTTCAAATCCCATGGTAGTAGAGGTAGTAAATGTATTAGCAGTAATCGGAGAGATTAGAGTTCGACAACATATTCAAACAGTAGAATCTAGTGAGATAAACTTAAAAGAAAAGGGTAAAGTGATGAGGAATTGAGACGGTTAGAATTTGAGAGAACACAAACAGTAAATGCACCCGCGCTATTACAAACGGTTTTGAGCCATGCCGTTCAGGGTCTCTAACCATCGATTACTATCATCTCGCGTGCCCCAACCAAGTAATCGATACCTACCGACATGATTCAGTCCACTTGTCAATGACTTGATGGGTTTGTGCCATGTTTTTGTCTGGCTGCCCCTAGCTTCCTTCCAATCTATTCCTACACCACAAAACATAGCTTGTCGAGGCAGTCGGTGGTTAGGCATTCGTAACACATGTCCCAACCACCTCAACTGATGAAGTTTCAATACTTCATCTATTGATTTGCCATTCCTACCAAGTACTCGTTTCCTAACGACAGCATTGCTTACTCAGTTGTCCGAGGATACATGGGCAATGCTTTGAAGACATCTATAATCGAATACTAATTACCTACCAATATTTTGCACTCTCACTGGCCATGTGTTACAGCCATAATGTAGGACTGAGCGAACTACCGCACAGCTCACTCGTACTATGGTTAGCAAACGGTAATGCCTTCTACGGAATAAGTGACGCAAGTTGTCGAAAGCCAGGTAAGCCTTTGTATCCGTTCTGAGGTTTTGTCAATCTCCAGTCCATCATTACTCATGAGACTACCGAGATAATTGAAGCGTTCAGTATGCTCAATTGTTTCACTCATTATCACTAGTGTAATCTTAGTGCAACATTTTACATTTCCACGGGGAAAATCGCATCACGAACATGCTTGCATTGTTGCTTATAGTAGTCAGAAGACTCTTCATTTTGTCAGCGTCTTCGCGAAGTAGAACCATATCATCAGCATACTCTAAGTGACCTAGCGTATCCCTTGGTAGAAGAGTCAGACGAAGATAATGTTACATATAGCAGCATGTCTATGACGAAATTAAACAAGAATGGTGAATGTGGACATCCCTGACAGATAGCCCTTGAAGTGAAGAATTCCAATTACAGTTCACCATAAGCTCTCAATCAAACTGTAGTTTTAGAGTAGAGAGCTTGCTTATGGTTATTGTACTTTTTTGACACGCCTTCCAATGACAGACACTGCAACAGAACCTCACGATCATCTGAGTCAAACCCCACCTTAAGGTCCAGGAAGATAACTATTGCAGGAGGCCTAAATATGTGTCTGTGTGGCAGGACATGTCTTAATGTAAAAATATGGTCTCTGCACCCATGTCCATGTCTGAAACCAGCCTAGTTTTCTCTAGTCTGCTCTTCACAAGCTCTAGTTAGTCGTTTTAGAATATTCGAGGCTAACAGTTTAGAAATAATAATTGTTGGGCTGGTCCCCCTGTGACTGTCAAAAGAGGACTATTGTTCTTTCATATGAATTCGGAAAATCAGGGAGTGAGATCGGTCAGATGCATTGACGTCCAGTTCTCAATAATAAGAGATTCACAATCCTCTTCGTGATATTTATTATTCACTTGTGAGATAAAATTATTACTGAGGCATTTTTCTGTGCAGATGACGCAATTATCTCGAGGTCAATAGAAAGTGAAGAGGATGTATTTGAACTTCAAAACGAAATTAAGACTGGTCGAAATGTTGCCTCACGAATACTCTTTCTCATCTGAAACAAAAACTTACGCACTCTATTGTAGCCTGCTTCCAGATGTGTCCCCAGAGCGGTATCTCGGTAACTAATTGCTAATTAATAAAAGACAAGACAGGATAGTTCAGATCAAATAAGTATACTTTAGTGCGATCTCATGATATCGAAAGAATACCGAAATCGTGCCAGAGAAGTGGGTTAAAGGTGCTGAACAGCAAAAGCAAGATGGCGACTGCTCAGAAGGAAGGTGTGGTACAAGAATGCGAATCAACAAAATGTTCGGTAAAACTTTTACCGATACAGTTGGTCATAATAATGAATGTTACGGTTTAACCATTTGTGTTTCCTCGTAACAGTGAAATCATTACGGTCCCCTCAGTGCAAAGCTTCAAGAAGTGACTTGATTAGCACATACTCAAGTACGGATTATCATCTTTCCCTTGGACCATCTGTGCTTGATTTATTTCTCGATTTCGTCAGATCTCTAACTCATCCTTTCCAACTTATTATCTCTGTTTCCTCCTCTCTGCTTACACCTCAGTGCCTTCATACAATATTAAACATCAGTTTGACGACTTATTAAATTATTTGGATAATTCTGACATTTTTTCTCCTTGTTAGCATTAGAATTTTCTGTTTATTGGTTTTCACATCGCAGCTAACTGATAGCCGGCTTAGTAACGTGATGGTTCCTGGTATCTAGAAACCCTACAGCCCTGAAACCGACGCATTCACCCAAATCACGGAACATACAAATTACTAAAGAACTACCAACTGCATGGAATTTGTGCAGTCGAGTTGCTAGACTACTACCCACTGGACAATACCAAGTACATGTAGCAGTACTGAAAGAACAAGAATCGAGCGTAAAGAAATCCATTGGTTTATACGAGCTCGTGAAAAAGATATTGGATGCTGAGTAGATTAAATTTCTCCCTGAAGTTCCTCTGAAAAGTTTCTTGAACAACCCCACCCAGTAGATAATTCCAGAATTTGACTAATCGTAAAGAATAGAAGGTGTGCCTACAGTCCATTCTCTTATACTGTGCCTTTTGTTTCTTAGTAATTCCCTTAAGTTTTGTATTTGGAGTGAGCTCCAGTAAGTGTTTTAGGGGATGATAAGAAGTGGTTAGTATGCCAAGTCATGAAATGGTCATCCCCGATATCCTGTACTCTAACAAGTAAAGATCTAATGGACTGAGGCGCTCTTCATGAGGTTTGATGTTGAGTCTTCCAATTTATTTCGTGGCTCGCTTTTGGATACGTTCCGGTGTCTTTTCAGAGTGGGGAGAGATACACTATTTTTTGAGATCCTAAACGGGACAGAATAGAATTCTCATGGAGTAGGTGGAAAGTATTACCATTGAACTAGCCGAATATGCAGTTTAAAGTTACCAGTGCAAGAAGAGGTCTAAAGCCATTTTCGTCAGAGTAAGCGTGAGACTTTAGTGGTGACTGAGTCGAGATTGACTATGATCACCAATAAGTAGAAATTACGAAACCGTCACTGAGATGATAAATAAATCCAAAGTAAAGAGTATATTTGCTAGCGATTTCGTGTTGTCGAAAGAACACTCCAAGACTTTGTATCATAAATTACGAAGACTCCAAGATGTTTTTAAACTTCAGATACTTCTAGGAGAAGATTAAAATCAGAATCAACTAGTTACCACTTGCGATTGATTTACATGTCTGCAGTGAACTGAATGTTCATTCAAATGAAGAATCCTTACCATCCGAACACTCATTCTCTTAACTGCAAATCTCGCAGATGGTTGGTAATTACTTCCGCGGTAAAACTGTACTTCTGATGATGTTTAAGTTACCAGATGAGTTTGGAGTAGGCTGATTTTAAGAGTTAGTCAGAACGCTCTTGAGTTCTTGGATGTTCTGGCTTGCAGTATGGAGGCAAGAAAATATCGACGCATTTTTCTAGCCCTTCTAGATTCCTTGGATAGGATTCTTTCAAGATCGAATGAAATTTTCTGCCAAACAATTAGAATGAGGATGTCGTGGAGGTGTAAATATCACTAAGCCAGCCGTTAAAATCCTTTCCTGTGAACTGAGTTACAATATCAATTTCTAATGGTTCGTGGCGATTGATTAAGTTAGTACGAACAGATGATGAAGCTTTATGACATGGTTTGAACATAGACTGATCCAGTATACAGACGGCATTTGTTAAATGGAACATATTCTTGCAACTACGAACTTCAGTTTATCCTATTTTCATCTACTAAGGCGACATCGGCGTGCTCTGTACGGTTTGTATCCATAACCATTAGATACTATATAACTGCTCTCAGAATTGCAAATAACATACTCGTCTGGAGTTGATTTGGTCCATCTCACCTCCTGCCATAACACGCAAGATAGTGAACAGCTTCAGTTTTTATATGAGCATTTCTGAATAATAAGGGTAGCAGACATAGTAGAGAGTTACACTTGTTCACTCCAAAAAAGTATTTAGATACACGAGGTCAAACTGTAACCTTGGTAATTTCACTTTCACCTAACTAAAAGCCACATATATGGTATAAATTTTCAGTAAATATGGAAATTAGTTTTGTTGAGAAATCTATTCTGAATGTTTAAGGATGTAACATATTTGGTATTGGTCAGTTGCATCTGGTCGAGAGGAAACTGTAATTTGGAAACAACAATGTCTTCAGGAGAATTAAATACTTGTTGATAAAATTACTCATATTTTTTAGGTAGAACAGTAAGTTCCCTTTCCTTTGGCAGCTTGAAATTGTAATGAGCTGCTTTTATGAAGAGAACGCAATTGGTGTAGTGGAAAAATTTATTGTTATAACCAACCCTATCAGTGGATTTTTTACTGTACCCCTTTGTTTAACTGTACTGAAAACACACATCTTCCGTTCATTGTGACCTTGAGCCTGCTTACGTACACTCGGTAGTCTCGTCTGTAAACTTTGGAGGATTCTTACAGAAATCCAAATGTGTAATGTTACAAGCCTAGGCAATTTATTTTATTCATAAGACAAATACCTCATTTGAATATTTCCAGTCTTTCTGTTATTTTAATAAGACCTTGAGTACTTGTGATTAACAGAATATACTTACGCGCAAAAATAAATAGGATGCAATCAAGTATATGAAGAGTAAGTCAGCCACTTCGCGCGGAGTTGTCTATATTCGTCGCTTGAAAAAACGTACATCCCCCTTTTCGTCTGTCCGTTGAAATGAATGTATGAAATTCAAACATAGGAGTTATTCGTATTTCAACTTCCAATATAATGATGTTCCACAAGTGATCATTGAATAGCATATGTTTGAAGTCATCTTCAATCGGTGAAAAGGGAATTAACTTGGTAGTAAACCTATTACTACAGTTTTATATCAGCTTATAGGAAATAAATCAAATGAATGGTAGACAGATTTATATCTGTGTAGCAGATAGAAACACAGCCATCACAATGAACAAGAAGAATACCTAGTGAGGATTTATTTAGGAGGTGTTGTACTTAGTAGCCACCTAATAATGCAACTAAATGGATATACTGAGACGTTTGAAACTAATAAAATATATTTAGCATTTTCAGCTTATTCTTGATAACTCTACGACGAAACACATAGTATAACGATCCATAAGTTGGATCTTGGAGTTACCATTCCTTCTATCTTCACCCTGATATGACAATATCTTTCCCCATCTTAACATACGTTGAAAAGGTTCGAATAAGCTTATTTACGTAGCTGCAGCAAAAAAATGTATCTCACACTAAATGTAGTTGATTAATACTCCGATAAATGTCCAAACTACTGCATAGTATTAGTTAAGAAATGGACTGATTTTCTAAGGAGAAATATATTTATAAATGAATACCTATGCATATTATTCGATAGTTAAATAAACTGTGTCTTCCACTGTCGAATTTTTGATTATGTAGTCTGCTTAGGGGGTTAGAACGTACCAGGTTCAGGTCTCTGATACCGTACATAATAATAATGATATTTATTTATCGTAACAGTTTTCAATGTCGAACAGATTACTTTAGGCTCCTTGAAGAGTCATTCAACTCACTTACACAAAGAGGGCCGGAATAGTCACCACCATAAGATTCCTTTCTTAGGTCTTTTCTTTCGTATGGCTGTTCTTCAGATTCTGCTATGTACAGAAATTCTTAAGGTTTGAACATGTCACAGGTCGTTTTGCCTTGTACGTCTATAATCTGTTAATACTAATATATGCTGTTGCCTGTTGAGTACTTATTATAGCCAGTCGCCTGATTATCACGATAACACAGTACAGACTAAATATTGTCGGCGAGACAAGTCTTCAGCGTACACTATGAGGTCACATCATTCCCGTCAAACTCAAGTAGACCCGCAATCATCCACACGAATCACCTACGTCGGTGATCTATTAACCATGTACACGATCTCCTAGGATGTCATAAGTTGATGAACTACTAAAATCACCATTTATCCAAATACAGGCAAATGCAGTACACCCTTGAAAAACAGTAGTAGAATTAACTCTTGAGTGGTTCTTCTTTGTCAAAAATTATCTAGTATTCATCAATGTTTTGAACCCTACTGTAGGGTAACTCAATAAATTGCAATTGTAACGACCTGTAACATGCAGAGAACTCATTAAGCGAATAAGATCATGTGAAGAAAATAATGACAACTTTTCCAGCGGTTCCGTGAGATAACTCATCCTGTTAGTTCAAATTCCATGATCCAGAAAGTTATGCTACTTGCTAACTGTAGAACGCCTTGTTTTGAACAATAAATGCTGTAGCTCCATCTTGTAAATGCTCAAACGGTTTACTGAACCGTTGACAATCGCAAAGTCATAATAACTATTTCTGAGTTGTTTTTGTCTTAAGCGGTAAATTATTTGTGTATTATTTTGCTCGATTTAAATTCCAAACACAATATTTTTGAACACAAAGTTCTCTCTGACTTGGATACCAGTTCAAACGTGACTACTTGAGTACTAATTAGATAGTTCGACTACTTTCGATTATGACACTGTACTAATAGTTAATCTTACTTCAAGTACACCTAAATAATTTATTTGGTTTTGTTTGTATAAATGTTCAAATCATCTGCCTGTCTATAAACGTCATCTGTTGTGTTCATTTGTCTGCTGGTTAATTTCGCTGAGTCTGTAAAATTTACGTACTCCCAGAATTGCTCGTATATCCTGAGACACCCGAGTGAGCAACTCCGTTATTAGGACACGGGTGCTAGGTAAGAATGGCAGATCAATAGATGAAGTGGTGAAACTTCATCAGTTGAGGTGGTTGGAACATGTGTTGCGTATGCCCAACCACCGACTGCCTCGACGAGTGTTGTTTTGTAGTGTAGGAATAGGATGGAAGAAAGCTAGGAGCGGGCAAACCAAAACACGGCAGAAATTCATGAAGTCATTGACGAGTGGACTTAGCCATGTCGGGAGTTGTCGACTACCTGGTTGGGGTCTGCGAGATGATAGTAATCGATGGTTAGAGACCCTGAATGACATGACTCAAAACCGTTTGCAATGGCGCAGGTGCATTTATTCTTTGTGTTCTCTCAAATCCTAATCTTCTGGATTCTTCAACACCTCTAGTTTTGACTTTCTAAACTTTTCTCACTGAATCATACTTCTTGAATAATATCTTCTAATCCTAACCTCTCCGATTACTTCTAATACCTTTACTACCTCTTCTACTATTGGATTTGAATTGACAATTATATCTCTGTGCTGATGTGGTATGGCGACATGAACTGATGTACTTACGTACGAAGTTCTACGTTGCATCTGACTGACTGACTGACAAATGACTATGTACGTATTTATGATGCTTTTCAAACAAATTTGTATGATTACAATGTGCACTTCACCATCTTGCATTGTTCAAAGTTTCAAGCAGCCATTGGCAACTACGATCACGTTGCATCTGACTGACTGACTGACTTAATACCAAAATATACCGTTGATTTTAAATTGACTGTTCCGGCGTGACTGGAGCGTTTGGGATGTTTAAAAATGTGAAGCAACAAATTACCGAAGCTTTTGAAATTAGATTTGAAGCTAAATGATCATCACGACACATCTGAAAACAAAGTAGTGGTAATTCAGTCATAAATGACTAGCATAAGACAAAACGAAACAGCTACAGGGTCAGTTGAAAAAACCTTTTTATTTATGATATAAAAATCTTTTCAGGCACTGCATAATTGTCCATAGGTTAGAAATCTTTCATTATCTCTGTTGACCAAATCTGTTTCAAATTTACTGAGTGACTTCTAAACACACAATACACTGTTAAGTGAAATAATACAAAAAATTTCCAAAACTTCAACAGGTGATAAGACTAAATTCAGTTTAAAAAATACAATTAGACTATAATGTAATGTGAGAAAATGTCCGATTTAAAAAAAGAAATTAGTACTTGAGATTAATACTGAATAGTATGATGATAACAAAATTTAGTAATTAATTCAATGTCGGTAGAGGTCTTGCAGAACTCTTACGTTTTTTCATTTGACCGGAATTCGGTACACCAGGCTTCATGTCTATATTCGACAGATCAATATAATTAGATTGGTAATTTTGTGAATTTCTTAAATCACTGATATTGTCTTCTATCAAACTGGAATCCCATAAGCGTAGATTATTATTATTGTTCACTGATCGACCAGATTGATTGTTTGCTTTATTTAGAATTCGCTCTTTCGATAAATTTATTTCAGTTAAATTTGATGAATTGAACTTGTTTGTTGCAGCTAATTGTTGACTATTGTCATTATTTTCACCATGTACATCTTTGAAATGTGCATTTTAAACAAATCAAAAAAGATCGTTGTCAATAGCCTATTTTATCATAAGGATTTATATAAATATGAAAAAAATTATAATCAGAGAAAAATTTAACAACAATCAAATACTTAATAATTTCAGATTATGGATAGGTATTTATAAATTAAGATGTATTGTATTCAGTGAGTTAGATATTTTAATTTAAGTCAGCAAACTTTTAGTAAATTATAGCGAAATACTAAAATTTCACTTCTTTTTAAAGAATGTCTTGATGATATTTCTTCTTAGAAGAACGATTTTAGCCTCACAACTAAATTATTCAACTGAGAAAACCTAATCCTTCCATGGACTGGTCCATGGAGATAACTATATATATATATATATATATATATATATATATATGTATATATATATATATATATATATATATATATATATACTGACAAATTTCTCATCAACCGTACAAAACATGTCTATTGATTAAATTATTGAATCTCTAATGCTGTAATTAGATGGATTTATTAGGATAGCAGAGATATAGAGTACACAAAATTTTGTAAGATCACCTGTATTCTAAACAAATTTATTAGAAAGATGTGAAATTAAGTTTTCACTCTCAACACAGCATTTATCTGATTATTTCTAAATTTCAAGGATTATTAGATATAAAACTGAATCAAAGAATAAGAGTTTTATTGGATGCTACAATATATATCTTTAAAAGTCAAAATAATATCGATTATAGATTATGATTATAATTCATGATTTCAGCTAGTTTATTATTGATTAAAATCTACTCTTCGAAACCAGTATTGTTTTTTCATGCAAATTAATGAGTTATTAGGATGTGTGTTAATTTGGAGAATTTACTCAGTAGATTTCGTAATATACTCAAATTAGACACAAATAAGGACTATTTAAATTTGAAAAGTCAGTGAATTGTATACATGAAATCATTGATAACAATTATACTCACTGAACATATAATTTCTGAAAATTTAAATATTTAAGATATTTGGTAAAATATGAACAATTAGATTTCAACAAAAACACTGAACGATTGAATCAATCTCTCCTTACATTTTTTTAAAAATAAACGGAACATAGAATGAGTTTCTAATGTTTCTAGATTGCAATGCAGTGTGTCTATCAATAATGGTTCGGTTTGAACATAAGAAATCCCTGCTAGACAGTACGCATTAACCATCATAAACAACCATGAATGAAAATTTGCTTGTCTTGTTGTTGAAGATTTTGTTTTTCATTATAGAGTTATAGAGATTGTTGTTTTACATTAAAACCGTGATACAGTCATTGTTAGAGCAATCACGATTCCAATATAAAGCAACAATCTCCATGACTCTGTAATGAAAAATCGTAAAATGTGCTCACTAGTGGTGACGAGCTTCGTGAGGGAATTCTCAGACTCCTGCTGAAAAGCCGTGACCAATGGAGTTCAATTCTGTCAGGTATAGGCAGTAACAACCGAAGATAATGGATGAGGTTGCGCAAAATCCCTATAATGATCAAAGTTAGAAATCAGCACCGTTAGAAGTTACGTATTCTCGCGTTAGACCGAAGGTCATGGGTTCGATTGCCGATGGCGTAGGTTGTGGATACGCACTGCTTATGAGTCCCCTACAAGGGCCAAACGGCTGCCTGGTGCTTCCATGTTTCTAATAATGGCCTAACGATGATTGATTCACGATTTCAATGCATTTTAGTCACGGAATATTTTCTCTGCTAATAGTAAACAAAACCATAAGAGATATGTTATGTTTCCAGTATTTCAGTTAAAAACATTTTGGTCAATGTATAAGTACAAAAAATTACCTGAAATATAATTAGCTGGTACAAATCCTTCTTGACCAGTAGTAATCAGTCTTGCCATCCACCATTTAGGCGTATCTTTGTATAATATTTTCATCCTATCACCACATTTAAAATTCAATTCATCAGATCTCTGAGCTTGATAATCATATAGAGCTGTGAAGATAGTTGTACTCCTTTCAGATGCTTGTGTTTTGAAAGTGTTATTCTTTACTGAATCCAATTTATCTACTGTGCTTTGTATATCAGAAACCTGTTTATAAGAAAATCCAAAAATATCGATAACAATGTAAATGATGCAAGTAACTAGAAATTAGAGAATTCCTGCTTTCTGTACGACTTTCTGTTATTACCCAGTGTCATTTTTGTTTAACAGTGTTTTTCACTAATTTTGATTAAATCCAAGTCATACTAAACAATTGTTTGGCATTGATTGACATTTTAAAGAACATCAGTTAAGGAGTGGACACCTTTTCTTGTGTAGATATTGGTTGACTATGTCTTTATAAAGTATTTAAGATTGCTCATGTAGGATACAACTATTTGCAGAACCACCTAATGATTACTGGTTTAACACATCTAATTACTGATGCTGAAAACTGAGATCCGAACGTGACATGATTGGGAGAGTGATGAATAAACTCTTCATACTACTGCGTGAAATAATTCACAAATTATCTTTTAATATTATACTTTGATATTTAAAGTTTTAAAGATTGGAAAACACATTTTCAAGCTATTTTGACAAACAGATACATAATTCTGATTACTTATTTTAAAGAAACACTAATGACAGATTTTAATAATAGTTTGAGTTGTTCGGTTGGTTGTCAATGTGGAATGAACGTGGTTGCTAACATTTATAAGTCTCGTGGAAAGAAGATCAACACAACCGAGTAAGTAAATAGCTATTCAACATTTATTTATATTGCAGCTACTTAAAATGAAAAATGTTTAGTAAATTATCGAGTTAACAAGAATGCTAGATAACTGACTTTTATCCCCTTTATTTAGCACAAAGAAAGCTAATTTTATAAAATTTTCAAATGAAATGCATCAATATTCATTGTTTCCGGTCACTTCATGGTCGACTGACAACCGGTTTTAAAATCCATATTGTTCTGTCTCGACTAATGTCCTTGTTTCGTACAAATTACTATCTACTGCGAAATTAAAGTGATAGATTTTTAATACTTAATCACCGCACAAGTCAGGCTATCTGGATTCAGTATGCATGTGGATAATGCGATGGTGTTTGAAGCGTACGGTTCCAGGTGCGATTCGCAATGTGAATATCAACTCTGGGATGCAGGTACACCCAGCTGACAAGTCCTATAGGCGTACAGGATTCCACTGCTTACCATTGTCCACCTCTACTTAATGAAAGTCATTTGGAAGATTGTTGCAATAAATTTCAGATTTTTAAATGACATAATTCAGTGTGTTACTCGTTTTATTAATAACAAGCACCTAAAATACATTAAACCAATCAATGATTCTGGTAAGTTTGACACTTATACATCTTTTCTTTACTTGGGTAATCTAATTTATCAGTCATAATTAATTGTAATATTTTTTCGGGAACTTCCGTGTAGTGCATTTGTTCACTTGTAATAATAATAAATTAGGTTTCCATATGTAAATGAAGGTTGAAATGAAACTTCATTCATATTATTAGTTTCAAGTATTTAGTATGTAAAATGATACGAATATATTAATCCACCAGAAAGTCAGTTTTATAACTTATTTAACAGGCATTCAGATTATATCGTTTCAAGCGGTTTAGTTATTCAAGTATACAAGTATACAATTTCGAAAATATTATCAGCCAATCAACCGCAACGTAGAACTTCGTACGTACGTACATCAATTCACGATTACATACCACATTAGCAGAAAGACGCAACTACCAGTTTTAATCCCATAGTGGTAGAGATAGTAGAATAATTAGCGGTAATGGAGAATATTAGGGATCAAAGATATTATTCAAGAAGTATAGTTCAGTGAGATAACTATAGAAAGAGAAAGATAGAGATAATGAGGAATTCTGAAGATTAGAATTTGAGAGAACACAAATAGTGGATGCACCTGCGCCATTGCAAACGATTTTGAGCCATGTCATTCAAACTCTCTAACCATCGGTGACTTTCGTCTCGCGGACCCCAACCAGGTGTAGCTTATATCTACCAACATGACTCAGTCCACTTGTCATTACTCGGCACACCAAATGCATAAATTACAGTTTAGTTAAGAATAATCTATCACATACAAACGATTTTGTACTTAAAAAAAATACACAGAATTTAACTGTATTGGTATGAGGTATATTTCCTTTTTTATGTGCCTAATTCGCTTTCATATCAAATTAATTAATGAAGAAAACTATTATTAACACCTGACCATATTTGTCCTTTTAGTCAAGGTCACTAGCATGTGTTCTTACCAAGATCAGGTATGATGAGTTGAGAAAAAAAAGTTCTAGTAATTTATTCTATGCATATTTAGTTAAAGATATTTATCGTTATTCTTTTTCTGTAGGAAAAAAAGATTTCTACACTGCATAACTATATAAAATTAGTATTATTTATGTAAACCAATAAAAAATCCGAAGAATCTTCTTATACATGTACAAATGTATAAATATTCTAGGATATATATATTACAGGTTTGTAAAGAATAATAAAGTTGATTAATCACTTCTGAAAAAAAGACTTAACTATTGATAAGCATCAAATCAGACTTAATTTTGAAGTCACCATACGATGTAAAGACGATATGAACGAAATAAAGAACTTAATATAGTGAATAAAATCTCCATATAGCTAAAAGCATCTGGTATGGCTAGTTAAAAACAGTCATTAGGAGACTCTGTAAATCTGAAACTACTATTCTCATCCCTTGACTTGCTAATTTCAGCGTTCATAATGAACTATTCAAGAGTTTAGCTTGAATGAAGCAAATTTGTCTTCTCTTCTGATTAATTTATAAGAATTTTGAGGCTACCTGGTTGGGGTCCGCGAGATGATATTAATCGATGGTTAGAGACCCTGAATGACATGGCTCAAAATCGTTCGCAATGGCACCGGTGCATCCACTCTTTGTGTTCTCTAAAATTCTAATCTTCTGGATTCTTCAAAACTTCTAGTTTTGTCTTTCTAAACTTATCTCACTGAATCATACTTCATGAATCATATCTTCTAATCCTAACCTCTCCGATTACTCCTAATACCTTTACTACCTCTTCTACTATTGGATTTGAATTGACAATTACATCCCTGTGCTAATATGGTATGGCAACATGAACTGATGTACTTAAGTACGAAGTTCTACGTTGCATCTGACTGACTGACTCACTGAAATCAAATAAAAGTTTAGTAAGTAAATTTGAAAAACTTTACACAAAGAGAACAGAAGGATGTATAGTATCAGAATTATTTATAAGTGAAGTGACAAAAAGTTTTCCATTGTAATATACTTATTTCCTGAATGGTGCCGATTGATTTCTTCATGTTTAGATAACTAACTACTAATCGACACGATGAACAATTGACACTTCAATAGAAATAAATTCTCTACAGGAAAAAAACGTTATTCTAACTTCGATTGAAGATTATTGAATACAAAATCAAACGAAATTATATAAACGACACTCTGATTGATCTAGGGATTTCGCGCGTTGGATGCCGGCCCAGTGGTCTGATGGTAGGGCGTTCGCCTACAATGTCAAATGTCCCGGGTTCGAATCCCGCGAGGAGCAGGAGTCGTGGATGCGCACTGCTGAGGAGTCCCATACCAGGACGAAACAGCCGTCCAGTGCTTCTGGGTTTCTAATGGTGGTCTAACAATGATTGACTGATGATTTCAAATGTGTAAAAACGCAATCCTCCAAAACTGTGCCCCAAAATAATGTTATAAATATATAGAAACAGACAAGAAAATAAGTTTTGATTAGAAGTAACAAATAGAAATGAATAAACAAATCATTGCTTATATTTAATCGTTTGAGTATAAAATATGAAGAAATTACACACCATGCAGCTACTGAAATGATGATTCTGGTGGTGTTTCGTTCTCTGAGCTCTGGATGTTTTGGTTGTGGAGCTTTCATTGTTCTTCTGAACAACATCATCAGCACAAACGTCAGATAGAAGTGAAGCATTCTAATTTCTCCACGTTTGAACTGTAGCTTGTTCTGCTAACCTCGATCTTGATTACTTGTTTTTGACCTTAAACCTGTCGTTGTTTGCACCTTTGTTTTGATTGTATCCTCCTTTTGATCTGTTTCTTGATCCTATGTCACCTATTATCTTTCTGAATGGTTGATAAATTGGGTCAATGTTGATGTGTTGATTGATTGCTGATTAACCTGAGTGCTAAGCTTCTAAAAATTCTGCATAACCAAAACAACCAGCTCAGAGAACGAAACACCACCATAATCATCCACCTGAGCTACAAGTTTTCTCCACCTTCTCGAAATGATAACTACATTTTGATTGTGAATTCATTTCATGCAAACAGATTTAGAGTCTGGATCATTCGTTCTCGCGCTTTAATAAAAAGCATTTTCAAGATAAAGTTTGTATAATGTTGATTCAGAATGGTATGAATTTCCTTTATTTCACTAGATTCTCATCAGATACTTACAATCCGTAATATTTTAAAATCAAGATCATCATAGAAATTGATTTGTTCATAAATATGAAGGTGATTAAGGATAGATAGGTGTATGATGATGATTTGAGACTATTTACATATATAACTTCAAGTGCAATGTTTTGAGTTGGCATGAAAAAAAAGTAGAACAGAACGATCAAATAACCTACCTCATCAATTACAGTAAATGTTGGTCTCCATTCCTGTGAGAACAAGAAAACAAATAATTGATTATTGAAAATATAGGGAAGATAATTCTAAAATGTTGACTTTTTGTAATTTTATTTTATCCAAAAATTCATAATTGTCCTGTTCACAATTTTCTACGTGTTCTTTCACTACGCTAAATGATGTAAATAAACTTTTCATTAAGAATGAACATTTATTGATCATAAAGTAATAACCAATAATATTTTTGTTCGATCTGAAGTACCGATTGGATTCTGACAACTGAGGTACAATGTAGTCACTATTCTAAGTGGATCGATATCCCATGTTGTTAGATGGTTAGAAGTAGTTGAGAAGCACTAAGACTAAATTCTAAACTGGTTGCAGTTTGTAAACAAATTATATATCTATAATCTTAGCAGAACCGACAATTTCCTTGAGATTCGGAGCAATTGAATCAAGTTTCATAGTGAACTGTTTCAGCGGCGAGAAACCTGTTTTAAGACTCATATGTTTATTACATTTATTGACTTATGAGGGGTAATTAGCTAGTATTAGCCTTATCCAGTCATTAGTCCTAGTAGAATTCGGTCATTCAAATTGTATGTAGTATTTGTTCCACTAAACAAACATTAATTTGAACTCCATGAATTCTGTACACTGCATAAAATTAGTTTAAACAGAGCTAACTTCTATTTAAAAGAAACCTAATCTCAAGAAAACTCATATTTTCATTGACTTATTATGATTAAATTTATTTTGATTGAATTATTGCATGATGAACCACGTGTACTGGTCAAGTGAAAATGGATCCCTATTATTTTGTTCATATCAAGTGCTAATCAGCATTGACGTTTGATAAAATCCTTCCTATGTCTTAGAAGGAAGAGAATAGAAATTGACATATAGAATTTTAAAGTGATGTTGTTTCATAAGGTCTATCTATATATGTGACTATCAAGAGTTGGATGTTAAATTGTAAAGTTAGCCAAGATTAAGTGAACTAACTATCACATTGGATAACATTGTATGAGAATTAGGTTATTTTATAAATTGACCATTGGATTCTAATAAGCTGTTTCAATGCTATCGTGCTGGCTGTAAAAAGTAATGTTGAATTCATTCTGATTTAGATTCATGAGTGAGTTGGTGTTGCACAGACATTTTTAACTTAAATGAAAGGCTATACAGTTAGTACTTTTTGATATTCCTCAGTTTTTAGCTGCGACCATTTCTTAGTGAAAGAAAATAACCTTCAAATCATACAATAGATCAATAAACCATCTAAATTGTGTTTTGTTTTACTTACTAATTCATGTAAATCGTTTTGATGATATCTTGGTAAAGGTTTAGAAATATTCTGTAAACGGAAATATAGACCGAAAGAAACATAAATTATCAGTTAGTAACGGTATTACTGTTAAAATCGATCAAAACGATAATGTAGTTTCAATAAAGAAGTCTACATTTAATTCAATGAAGTACATTTAGTTATTGTTAGACCACCATTAGAAACCTGGAAACACTGAAAGACGGCCGTTTCGTCCTGGTATGGGACTCATCAGTAGTGCGCAGGAGTCGTGGATGCGCACTACTGATCAGGTCAGTAAATTTAAATACTTTTCATATTCGTACTATACTAACGAACTCAATAACTTGGTTCATTTTTCATGCAAGTTACACTTGTAAAGCGGCTTTTTTGTTTATACAAATCAGTGGGTATGGAAAGTACGCGAAATGGAATGAATGTTTATTGTTACTTTACAAAAGAATTAATTTCTTATCTCGTCATAACTTGGAACTCTTTAGTATCGACTAACCATACGCTTCGAGGAAAATAATTTAGAGTTCCAATAGGATTTAAGTGAAAAGAATACTTGTGCACAGCATTGGATTATGACTCAGCTGTAAGATTGAAGCCGAAAAATGTGTATAAATGAATTTTGACTCTAACACTGAAGGACAACATTCTGCTAAGAAAACATATCTATGCGTTCTATAGAATTTAGAGTAGTGAGAATCTAAAAACCAGTAATTCTTAAAGTAATACAAACCGTAGTCTAATGCTTTCACATATTCAATTAACAACAAAGATTACGTTTAGCTTGACAAAATCTTTACTAATAAATGAACTCAATGTCTTAGAACTTTTTCATAGTAACTGCAAATATTCTTTTCTATCAAAAACTAACCATAATATTTTCCAGTTTGGACATAGCAAGTAGAACTAGTTCAGCATCACGTTGTTTAAATTTGACATGAGATGATAGAATATCCGGTGGTCTTTCAACGTAGCTAAACAATGTTAAAAGAAATAAGTATATGTTTTAACTGATAGAATAAATTATAGAAACTCTCATAATTACATTTATTCACTATTTTTCATTTATTGAAACCTAATTGTTAAGTAGAGAGTTGAACAAAAAAAAGTATTCACAAGTTGAATTGATCGAAATAAGATTAATAATCGAGTAGATTAAACCAGAAACTCTTTCAACAGTGTTGTATTGGAGAGGAAATTTCTGTGAAATGGTAATCTTCACTTTATATTTTATGAATTCATTCACTTGAACTTTATATTATAACGTACACTTCTCTTACAGAAATTATTAAATATTTGCCACATTTAAATCAAATGGGTTTTCCATTATGGATATTTGAAGTTTTGTTAAAGTGTATCAGACAAAAAAACTTACATTAAAATGGAATCTCATCGTTTTAATTACAATCAATTATTCAGTTTTGAGAAACTCAAACATTTTGGTACTTAACAAGGTCAATATAGACTATAATAATGAGTAAATTATATCAGAGACTATTTAAAAATTACTGAGAGTTGTAAAACTGTTTTTTAACCGATTGGATAAACCTACTTACTTACTTACGTCTGTTTCCCCTAATGGAATATAGGCCTCCGACTAGCATTCTCCAACCTTGGATGATTGGCAGCCGGCTCGATGGTCTAGAGGTTAAGCGCTCGAGTGAGAGACCGAAGGCCCTGAGTTCGATTCTCACGGGCGGAGGTTGTGGATGTGCATGGATGATGAATCTCATACTGGGACGAAATGGTTGTCCAGTGCTTACAGGCTTCTAACAGTGGTCTAGCAATGATCAATCCAATTGGAATCAACTACTACAAATAAATACTCATGGGTTTTCGATGAAAATTTTGTACAAAAATAAAACATAGATTCTATGCGTTTTTATCATGTATAAGAGTTAATAATTAATGTTTAGTGTAATGAAATTTTCAACAAAAAATATTCTTACTTCATTTCCTCTTCGCATAATGGCAGATGTTTTTCATTGGACTTTTGATATAATGTTGTCAATGGATTAGCTGTTAGAATAGACAGTTGAGAAACAAATAAGAGTAATCATACTGTGTACAATATCATTCGATAAAATAAATTAGTGAAAATTGTTGAAATCATAAAATAACTTAAGTTAAAAACAACAAGTGAAAATCTTTTAAATTGAAAATTAAGTATGAATTTTGTTTTAAAAACTCACAATGTTTCACAACTGATTACTAAAGTAGATCATCGGGTATAATGATGAGATAGTTTGAATTGTTAAAGACCCTTGGTAAGAAAACTTAAACTGAGGATTTGACCTATTTTCTATTTTTTTCTAAAAGCTTTCTTCAGTTTTATCCCATTTCATGGTTGCAGTCCACGTTACTGAGCTACTTGAGTCATGCATGATAAGAAAAACCGCTTTTTGTAAGGTTAAAGATATCTTGCTAACTAGTGCCAACCGGTAAGAAACCAAACTCTAATCCTTAGTGTATAAATTAAATAATTTGAAATTAGTCGGTAGTAAGTGACCGATTAGTATATGAATATAAAATGTAGTTATAATACAGTTTCACTGGGCATGTATAAGTGTAGTGAATGAGAACACACAGTAAAGGAAAATAATGATGAATATGTACTCCATTCTTTAAACAATGAAACATAAGACTCGATGGAGAAGTAAACTAATGTAACTTCGGTTAATTTTAATACTCCTATTGATTATCGAAATAAGACTGCAAAATAGCACGATACACAATTCCAGAGGTTAGGCGTTCGCGTACAAGATCGAGGGTCCTGGGTTCGAATCCTGTGAGATGCAGGAGTCGTGGATGCGCACTGCTGATGAGTCCCATACTAGGACGAAACGGCCGTCCAGTGCTTCTGGGTTTCTAATGGTGGTCTAACATTGATCGATTCATGGTTTCAACTGTATAAGTAAATGTGACAGAACCCAGATAGCTCAGCACACTCGGATCAAGCTGATTCCTTGCAAAAGATTTGCATTTACAGGCTTTACCTCTCAGTTACTTCAGTGATGACTAATTTCATGTATAACAAACCCCGCCTAGTTTAGTGTAAATATATATTTATATTGCGTATTCAGTCGATGTTGACTTTTAAAGATTGACATCAATTTGTTTATTTCGAATAGTTGTGATTAGAATCTTCGTGAATACAATAATTATTTATCCGTTTCTTTCAAGTAAAGGAAAACAGTAACTTCATGTTTAAATGATCAACATTTTGCATCTTTATTCATCTAATTTATTTGAATTTTTAGCTATTCAAAATAAAAGAACAATATGCTTTTAGTGACATTAATTTTCTTTGAAATAAGTTTCTATTCATTGATCCTTTAAAGGCAAATACATTTTATCATTATTACGAGAAAATGATAAGCTGTGTATTAGGGTCAAATACAAGAATAGGCCAAGTTCAGGCAAAATAACGTTAAAATTTATAAACAAGATAAATGAATAATTTAATTTCATTGAATGACATAAAAAAATTATTGGTTATTATTTTATAATGAGGTAAGATACTATGAACTGTGACTACTGTAAGTGAGAAACAAAATCAACCCTCATTTTCCTTTGCAACGTTAGCTAATCGAGATGTCAAGTTAAATGTTGTATTAAAGATTTGGTAGATTTGTGGTCAGCAATGTATCACTAGTCCCGTGACGGTCGGTATCCAACGTGTTCCTAGACTTTGTAATTTGTTCGTCCAGACAATCGGTACTAAGTATCGCCTGACGGTTTTAAATCAGAAAGTGAACACGAAGTGTTGAATATGTTTATTTTGGCATACCACAGATTCGCTAAAGAAAATTACTTCAACGAACGATCATTATGGCTTAATATAATTGAAATATACTTGAACATCGAGTGCAGATTGTATGTTTGAGGTAGGAAGACAGAGACATCTTGGACAGTAGCAAAAGTTGAAGCATAAATATGAGGGTATGTGAAAGAAAACAGTAGTTCGAAACTGTTACAAATAAGTTATGGAGCACCAAGTATTACATGAAATTGTTTATCCTCATAAGATATAATTGTAACTCTTAAAACCTAGGCGTATTATGAATACCATATAATGGGAAGCAAATTTGCTAGGTGTTGATTTGAGCTTTGATGACAAATAAACATTTCTAAGTATGAATCATTAAAATGACGCTAATTCATTAGAAGAGACAGTTAATCATATGTTTCATAAGGTTCATCTCAGTGTTGGTGATTCTTGTCAAATTTTCCAATAGGCAAAGAAACGGATGAAATATCTGTGTTTCACAACTTAAATTTTAAACTTACCTTTTATACTGTAAGCGTACACAGCAACTGGTGAGTCTGGTCCAATAGCGGCGAAAGCAATCACATTATCGATAGGATGATAGCTTATTGAAGTGACAGATCCCGGCAACATTAGATTCTGATAACATGCTACTTGATCACCTAAAAGAATGAATTTGTGTAATATTATCAGATGTAGCCCAAAAGTATCTTACCGAAATTGTATGCAACGTATACACCGAATGATCAGTGATTTGTCCTTAATGCAGATGGACATCTGAAGGAAAAACTTCAGTATGAACATCAGCTTAATTGGCCCAAACTACCTTCATTTAAATGAATATCTTAGTCCTACGAAAGGTTATTCAATGAATTAGTAGTTCAGAATCAGCCGACACTAAACTGTGGAATCACATGAGGAACACCTATCCCTTCAAGGTTACAAACACGCCTTGGTGACCAGGGATCTACCGGGGCTTACAACCGGTCCCCTTTAACCCTTCAAAATCATTTTGGTGGTACAGACCGCAGAAAGCTGCTTAACCGAAAGACCATGCACAACTTTTCAGTCACTTTTTATTATCTATTTTTTATGATGTAAGTATGAATATGGAATGATCAATGATTATGTAAATTAACCCTCTATTATCAAAGGTAATTTTACATCGGTTTTCAGGAGAACCTGGGAGACTGCCCATGTGTTAGCATTTGAACGTGAACAGTTCGGCTCAATCCCGTGGTGCAATCACACAAGTACTTGATGTCCTGGTGGACCATTCACACCATTTATATACTCTAGTAAATATATAGTGACTAATTCCGATCCATGATCTCAGCAATCAATTTGCACCGCGTGAACGTGTCAGTTCGACCATGATTGTCGAACTCATTATTGTGGTGGTGTTTGGTTCTCTGAGCTGGATGTTTTGGTTGTGTAGTTGCACCATATGTCTTCCACTTTGTTCCACTATTCACCATCTCATTGGGGAGTTGATTGGTGGTCTGTATTTGACACTTGTTGGCAGAATATGCTGACGAAGACATTCGTGGCGAACCAAACACCACCACAATCACCCACCTGAGCCGCAAATTTTCTCCACCATCTCGAACTCATTATTATTAGCAATAGTGATATTCAATGCATCAATCTAATGACAATGGCCCCCAGGAATTTTGAAAAACAACCATCAGTATAAATGAAATCGGTCACCCTATTAAACAGTTTTGTACATGGACTGTTAGCAATAATTGCCAAAACAATGCCAAGCCATCCTCAATGTTCCCAGTGAACCTCTGGTCTCATAGGAAACTTTCAGCTCCATATACCAGTATAGCATAGGATAGCAAGACGTGCAGCCCAGCTTGATGCAAGTGGGCTCAAACACTCTTATTACTCTTTGTCTCATGTCCGGTAATGATTTTCGCAATACCGAAATTTTCATTTTTCGACCATGTAAGACCTGAGTTAGGGATAGTATCCCTAAATTCGAATATGACCTTTCAAGATATGCGGTTATATCATTCATAAGCCCACTATTGCATAACTAAATATGACCCTTGAATAATAACTTGAGGATTCGAAAGGTTTGAATAGTGCTTACAGAAAGAATGAGTTGTACGTGTAAGAAAAGTTCATATTCTTTCAGCAGTTTAAATCTATGCTGTGTGAGTGTGATCAAGATGAAAGTACTTCTCTGCATAAGTCAACTGGAATATTGAAGCTTTTATTTTTAAACACTAGACCTGTAAATAAATTCAATTGAGAAAACAGTTTTGTTGATCTACCTTAAACTTTCGTATCAATATGAGCTAACATTACGTCTAGAACAAAATTTAGTAGGCTTTGGAACTAAATTGTATGTTTTTGTCAGAAATCATCTGCAAAATCAATAGAAGCTCAATGTTTAAATATTGATTAATCTAACGGAAATCTAAAGTCTTCCCTTGTCAGTTTTTGTTCTTATCTACCGAAGGACTTCAAATGTAACCATTAAAAAATGGAATAATAAAATACATTATGGTGAGAAAATAACCTGATTGTACAAGTAAAGTATAATCCGCCTGATATTGGATGCCTAAACAAATAATATACATATATATGTGCAGTTAGTATTTTTTCCATCAGCTGCATTTCTACAGTTGAAAAATATCTGGAAATCCAAACAACTTTCAACTAAAACCAGAATCAGGATTTTCAATACAAACGTCAAGGCAGTTCTACTGCATGGAGCGGAACGTGGAAAACTACGAAATCCATCATCCAGAAGATACAAGTGTTTATTTACAGTTGTCTATGCAAAATACTTCGGACTCGTTGGTCAGACACCATCAGCAACAACGTACTGTTGGAGGTAAGAAACCAGATTCCAGTGGAGGAGGAAATCACGAAGAAGCGGTAGAAGTGAATAAGACACACTGCGAAAAGCATTGAACTGCGTCACAAGACAAGCCCTCACATGGAACCCTCAAGGTAAAAGGAAAAGAGGAAGGCCAAGAAACACATTACGCCGACAAATAGAGAAAGACATGAGGAGAATGAACAAAAATTGGACAGAACTGGAAAGGGAAGCTCAGGACAGAGTTGGTTGGAGAAAAACTGGTCGGCGGCCTATGCTCGATTGGGGGTAACAGGCGTAAGTAAGTAAGTAATGAAGTAAGCATTTTTTTATTTTATCAAAATTATTTAAACATAAATAAAATAAAGAATATCAGTAATTTACAACTAACCTGTATTGACATTCCAAACATAAACATTTTGATCCTCGGAACCAGAAAATAAGAATGAACCACATGGTGAAATACAGCTACGTAATAATTCAGTATTATTCAATGCTCCATGAAATCGTGTTGTGATGAAATCTCTAGAGAATGAATACATTTTAATGGTTTTTTTATATTGAATTAACTTTTGTAGTCTCAAAATGTTGTTAATTTTGTTGAATTCTAAAAAAATCCCCAAGGTAATCGGGCGGTCGGCTTAAGAACAGTATCAATAACAATTTTTATAGCTGTACAATTACGTTGAGGTAAATAGCAATCGGAGAAATTTGTGGAACTTACGAAATGATGAATGGTTACAGATAGATAAAGTAATTAGCCTTATTGATGTGGTGAATTTCAAACGTAACAAAAGTCTTCCCGATAATAAAACAGTAATCAGAAAAACAGAAATATTTTGGCTAAAATAAAAGGTGGGCGTATGTTGTCACGTTTATAAATTATTCATTGAATTGAATGTAGCTAGCTAATTGATAAAACTAGTGAGCATTGTAGATGTGTTTCATCCAAAAATTAGACCTCATAACTGGGCATATATATATATATATATTTGATCGAGAATGAATCCAAGGCGTTTCGGTTTTCCACCGGGCTCTTTAATTTTAGACCATATAACGAAAAACCCAGGCGAACACATTTTGAGCAAACCAGATCTCACCACTCCCATTATAGAATATGGTGATGTCTCAAGGACTGATTAAACTTGAAAATGTGGTTAAGCTCCATTGATCACGAATTTTCAGTCGAACTTCGAGGAGTCTGGTCAATATAATGCTTTTTATGTTAAATCTTCCAACCTGTTTTCATGATGCTTCTAGCTGAGTCATCGTATGATTAACCTCCATCTTCTCTTGCATAAGAAAAAATGTCATCTTTTTTATATGAATGCTCATTTAGTTGGTGATACTATTTATAATCCTTTATTTTTAGGCCGGTCATTTTATGTTATTATATTCTGTTAGTATTCAGTATGTTTAACTAAATAGTTAACTAAAATTGTTGTGCTATTTTGAAAGTAATGAACATTAGTCAATCGTTAACAGGGTGACTGCTTACTAGGAATACTCGGTTATTCAAATTTTTATCGATTAGAAAGTTCTAAGTGGTTATTTACCTGACATCAGTCTAAGACATTCTAGAAAACAGTCTATGTATTTATGAACCCAACTTAAATAAAGGGAAACTCCAACAGAAGATAAGTATCAGATGTTGCTTATCAAAGAAAAGTTTAAATATAAGAAATAATTTGATTTTTATAATGAAATAACTTACGATCTTAAATCAAGCATTTTTGGACAATTATCCCTTGTATGTACCAGTAAAAGATTGAGTGTAGGATGAAATTCTAAATGATTGATGATGCACATCTATAACCATTAGGATAAAAGGTTTGCAATAATAAATTGCGTTGAAACTTTTGTAATAAACAAACCTGGTGTAACAAAATATTCTTAAGTTAATAAAAATTTATTCTTCATTACAATATAATTTGAAAATAAATCTAATCAGAGAAAATGAGTTCGAGTAGTGTAATACTACTAGGACCCATTGCATTTGGCATATTCAATTTAATTTATTCAGAAAATGTAAATTACAAAAATTTTTCTTAGCAATCAGTTTGCTTGAAATGGTATGATAGTATTATTAGGTATCTTTCGGTCAGTGAAAAACTGGACCAAGTACAACGTAATGTGACAGTTTGTTACTTACCCTCAACTTATTATGATTGAACAAATTCTACTAAGATATCTGAGTGGATTTAAGGTTTCTACATTAGATTTCTAAAAAAAAAGGTTTTCTTCTTGTTTTGAATCTTAGTTACATTATCACTTTGACGAATGAGTAGAACTATCAAAACAGAAACTTATTAAAAATATCAGTGAGATTAAATCACAACGCCTTACTCTTGCATAACTCTTTTAATTATTTATATAGGTTTCTTTCGTGTCAATACAAAGGGACTTTATTAAAATTGGTCGATTTAATAAAAATGATACTTAGGGGGGCTTAAGGTTTATAGATTTATAAAGTTAGAACAACAAATACAAATGAACATTACTGTTTTTGATTAAATCGTCATCAGGCTTTACTCTAATATACATGAATATTCATATGAAAATGTTAAACCAATCAAGGCAATTTATGAGTCAATAATCACAATGAAATGAAATAGATTACGTCACTACACATAACAGACAAAAGTACAAGCTGATTGTAGGAAGACAAGTGTAATAATAATAATAGTAGTAAGAAAATTATAAAATACGATAACAAAAGTTTTATTGACAGTAGGTCAAACGTGGATAAACAGACTCAAAATAATCATTACAAAACATTAAAACCATTATGTAAAAAGAAGTGTGTATATAATTAGATGGTGAAGAATATAAACAGGAAGAGGCAGAAAATCACCAACTAATACAGGATGTGAAAATAATGCCAATAATTAAAACAAATTTAAACGTTAGTTAGGTCAGGTCCGACCACGAATTTCTTCTGAACACATAAATTGGGGTTGAATGTACGAATTCCTATGGCTTCTGCCATATGTAGGAGATGGGATGGAACTCCGTTTGGAAATGATGGAGGTATACAATAGATCACCTGAAAAGATCTAGACTTATCTACAATATGATCACTGTCAACCAGGTGTACTAAGATAGAACTACGTATTGTTTTTAACTGACCCTTCTTAAACCATGCTGGGAGATGTTCACTCATTCGTTGGTTAATTTGCCTGGTAGTAGGCCCAATATAGCTATCTCCACAGGAGCAGCTGAATTTTCAAATGCATAAAGAAGAGACCAAATCAGGTAACTTGTCATTCATTTGGGTAGATATCGCTAGTCGACTTGAGAAGGTCAACGCAAGTTCGGCTGCGTTGTATGATCTACTAATTACTTTCATTAATCTGTCCTGCAGAGTATCGCAGGCCACATCTCCGTTGAATTGTAGTTTAATAAATAAATAATTCTTTTGAGCGGTCGAAGCTACTGACTTCTTTTTTACATCAAACATAATCTTCCTTATAAATGCGCTGAGGTAGCCGATCTCGGTCAGTGAGCTATTGATAAATCACATCTCCTGACCTAAAGTATCCACTGAACAGATCATTTTCGCTCTGCTAGTGAGACATCTAACCAAATTTCTTTTGAAGCGGATAGGTTAAAGTTCGTCACATGAATGCCTGTCATTTAAATTGCGTTGTATCAAATCGCTAACATGTTAAATGGTGCAATTACAAAATGACAAATTACTCTATCGAATTACGGTGAACATTATTGTTTTTCCCTAATTCAACAATTTTCTTCTGGTCCATGTTGTTTATCAGTCTCTAGTAGGAAATTCTTTCTTCTTTTGAAGTACACAAATGTTTTGTGTTTCCCTAAAGTAAATGGTTTATTTTATGTTAAATAAACTATTACAGAAAAGCCTTTAGGAAGGTATGTTTAATTGTGCAATTAGCATTTTACTATAAAATGCTCCCAATCAGAATGATGGAAGAGTGTTTTAGGCACGTTTTTTATATATTAATAATGAAATGTACTTTTGGTACTGTACACATGTATCGAAAAAGCGTGAAATACCGGGGAATCGGGTGAAAATTTTAACTATCAATCATAATAGTTTCTTGATAAAATTACACGATTTTTACTGAAAATGACTGATTTTACTTGAAAACATGTCAATGATTAAACAAACATTTCACAATCTCTACATAACTGCCAGCTATCTAATTTTTTCATTGACCTGAAAAGTAGCGTTTAGTTAATGTCCGGAAATTAGAAGAATAACGTTATAAACGTTCGACCTGAATGAAACAGAAATTTACATACGTTGTTTTTCTTTATGTTATTACCAGGGACTGGTGTACGTTGTGATTATTATGAGAATGAAATTAGCCGTGGTATATTATATTAACCTGTATTACTTGCAAATGAGTTTTATCCATGAAAGGATATTTTATCTTGTCACTATTATCTTCACAAAGGAGATTTTGCACAACAGATGAGTATTGTTGTTTAATATGTTCTACATCTCTCTCAAGTCAACGATGAGCTGTGTACAATGCTGTGCAATGCGACTACAAGTTTTGATCAATACACATTTAAATATGAAGCATTAAAGATTGGTGAACTTGATTTCCAACAACTGGTGTTAATCAGGTGGCCATAAAACTATTCTTCAAGACTTTATATAAATTACGAATTCAATCAAACACCAAAGTCGCCCATATGTCAACAGAAATTATTAATAGTTTTAATGAGCCTGGAATTTTCAGAGATCACGACTACAACACACTTGCGACTCCCTTTAATGACGGAGCAGTGACAAGAGGCAAGTTTTTAGAAATTTAATTGGTGTATTAAAGTTTTGATGATCAGTTCACTACTACTAGTAGTAGTTGTTGTTAGCACCTCTCAACAGGAAATTGATTGAAGCTGCCATTCCGTTTATCCAGTTAATTTTTACATATTTAAACAAATAGACTGATAAAAATTTGCCATAGTTTTCTTACTTCTAATTCTCGAACTTCGATTTTCTTTTCAAGCATCCATTTGGAATGAGATTTAACTTGTCTTTGTTGTGGATTATTTGCTTCTTTCCAAACGACAATCAGACCTAACGCATCACCAGAGTATATGCGTGATCCATTTGTATTAAATGTTAAACTATTTATATGCGACTGATGTACACCATTCAATTCTTGTAGCAGCTTAATAATAAAACAAATTCAAAAGTACACAGTTGAATTAAGTAATATAAAGTAATGGAGTAAAGTTTAATGCAACAAGTTAATGAGTTATAAAAATGACTGATATTGTTACTTTTGTATTGAAGTAGACATTAACCTAATAAAAGATCTCTACTCGGATACTATGGGTCGAGTGAGAGCTTATGGCGAACTGTCATGTTTTGTGGTGTGGGAACACGTGGGAAGAAAGCTAGGGACGGCCAAACCAAAATATGGCAAAAATCCATAAAGTCACTAACATGTGGATTGAGTCATGTTGGTAGGTGTCAACTGCCTGATTGGGAACCGCGAGATGGTATTAATTGATGGTCAGAGACCTTGAATGACATGGCTCAAAATCGTTTGCAGTGGTGCAGGTGCATTCGTTCCTTGTGTTCTCTCAAATCCTAACCTTTGGAGTTCCTCATCACTTTTATTTTTTTCTTGTTAAGCCCTTTTCATTAGATTCTACCTCTTGAATAATATCTTTGAACCCTAATCTCTCCAACTACTGCTAATACTTCTACTAACTCTACTACTATGGGATTTAAATTGACAATTGCATCTCTGTGCTAATTTGGTATGGCAGCTTGAACTGATGCCGGTACGTACGAAGTTTTACGTTGTTGTTGTTGACTGACTGACTGATCAAAATAGATGACTTTACAGACTTAGAATCTAGTGAAAAATGTTTTATATCTACTAGATTAGGAATAATTCTAGTTAGACTGACACTTTTTTCCATAGAAAAAACTAAAAATTCCAGCCTATCCAATTCGCTAACCAGCCCTGAAGATCTTCGTTTAAAGTTAGAAAAAATCATTTATTCGACAATTTAGAAAGCTTAGTGCTTAATGGAGTAAATGTAGACAAATTTGTTAGGTGTAATGAATAACAGTTAAACAGAAAACAAGGTAAATTATAGCAAACAACAATTTATTTTCAAATATCATTTCAATATAACTGAAGTATAGACATATAGATAACTAAAGACAACATTACTGTTATAATTTCAATCAGCAAGTTAAGGTGAGTTAAGCCTTCAGTTTAGGAAATAGATTCTTTGCCTACTAAAAGTGCTCTTTCAACAAGCTTAGTTATCAAACAGTTATCTTTCTTTTCTGTTTGCTTTAGATTAACTTAAAATGTGACGAGAATGTCAGACTGTGCAGAAAGGATGATAAATAGTAAGCAGATGGATGTCCTTTCATTTTTATTATACATGGGATCGGGGATCCATAACCAAAGTAAACTAAAAACTTAATTGGCAGATGGATTTTATTGTTTAGTAAATGAAACTACTAGTTTAGAGCTTGTTCTTTTAATTAACTCTTGTCATCAAATAAACAGTTGACGTTTTACTGAGGAAAACGGACTGTATATTTATTCGTTGAAAAGAGAAATCTTTTTCGAAGGTCCTTGAAAACTTGAGATGTAATATATTGTATATTATTATAAAATCGTTCAGTTAATGACTCAAATTCTACACTACTGACTTGCTTAGTCATTTGGCACATTATTATTGATTAAAAAAAATCTTTTAATTGCAAAAGAAAAAAAATTAAATAATTAGAAATAAATACAAGGTGAATACCTGCGCCTCATTGTGTTTAATACTCCATAAGCGAGTAATACCATCATAACATGCTGTCGCAAGTAGATGGTCTCGATTAGCCAAAGTTTGAAGAACTTGCGAATCATTTAGATCTAATTCTTTGGATATTGGTTTAAATGCCACGCTATATACAAAGTTCGGATGACCAAGTACGTTACATAAAACACCTTTCTTGTGAGATGATCCGTTAACAATTTGACCAACCTGAACTGGGGATTTTGATGTACCAATGCGAGCAGATACATTAATATCGGTATCCGAGAGGAAATTATCATCGTTGGTAAAATTCTTATGTATTTGATTAAAATGTAATCTCCATACTCTAACAGTGCCATCAGCTGAACCGGATGCTAGAATCCAAAATAATTTTGTGTCATAAACACCTTTACTAGAAGACTTTTGTGTTGATTTGTTGCTATAGCTTCGGACCAAAGGAGTTTTAGCCCAGTCTATAGAATAGATGATATCCGAATGTCCAGCTAACTCTAAATTTGGCTGGCTACGTTTACTGTCAAAGGGGAACTGTTTTTTCAACAAAGGAAAAAAAGAAATGAAGCTTACTAACTAAAAAGAACAAAAGTTCATGAATAAGTTTGAAAAAAAATAGTTGTGACGATAACAAACTGAAGAAGCATACCAGTTACGAAAGTTATCTGATTTTAAATAAGCCAACTTCAACAAGTCAGTCAATCAGGTGCATATTAACTATATTAACACTTTTCATTCATAAGTATTGAGTATTATCTGTAAGACAAACTATTTTCTGTGTATATTATCTGGTCAAAATTGAAGAAATTATGTGAATAAGTGAGCAGTAATTAAATACACAGGGAGAAATAATAAAGATAAAACCAATTGAGTCCTTATTCTCTGCTTATTTAGACTTTATCACATAACAAACGATGATGTTCCAAAACACTAAGATGAATTAGTTGGGTTTGTCATAGAGTTAATTTACATTTCTGACCTATGAAACGATTTATTGCGTTTAATCTCATATTAAATACCAGCTAACACCGAAATTTTTTGATTTTTATATTTTACCAAATGACTGTTTAACCCATTGGCTTTTCATTAGATCGTTCAAGTTTTATAAAACTAAACGGTACATTGGATTACATTTTAGTATGGATATTTCATTCTGTTAAAGACTAAGTGATTCAGAGAAATGAAAATTCCTGTAACAATTATCATTTGTCGACGAATTATTGTTCGTACCTCAGAACCAGTCATAGCGATGTAGACCAATGCGCTTTTTATCCCCCCTTTAAGACTCTAGATTTGATGTTGAATTGTATTTTTTTTCTCAGATTCATCCTCTTCTTTCGAACCTTATCTTCTAGTTCCCCGTCTTTCTGGTTATCATGTTTAAAATATGTAAGTGTATGGGTTTAAAGTTTTTAATAGTATACAGTATTTCACTATAACCACCAGTTACTGATGTAAAATTTTAAATGAAAAATGACTGACCCGATAAATTAAAACAGAACAGTCTATTTTATTTGATTTATTGTTTGTAGAGTTCCCAATAGTATTATTCAATAGTACATTTCTTATGACTCCAACCGCTAACCATTTACCATCTGGTGAAAATGCTAAACACTGAGCACCGGAAGATTTCGTTGACATATTAAAACTTTTATTTGTTTCCATATCCATTGAAAAATCAAAATGATTATTTGTTGTTATATGTGCTGTTATTCCATAGCCAACAAGTAAGTTTGGAATACGACATGGCTGATTCGATTTTCTAGTCCAAGATTTCTGTAGTTCATTTAGTTCATTTTCATTGATAGGACTCAAAGTGTTCCTATCATTCTCTAGTGAAGCATTAGATTGGTTTGAATCAATTGTACTTATATTTGGCTGTACAAAGATTTCTGACTGTTTTGTTTAAAGAGAAAAAAACACATTGACTTGAGCTTTATCCCCGATATGTATGCACGTAAACAAAGCAGTATAATAATAAATAAATTTCACGTTAAATTTAGTATGAAATTGGCTTTTGATACAAAGCAACGCCCAATAATGCGTCTTATTACTGAAATCATATTTCTACCAACATTAGTGAACTACCACTTTCAGAAATAGGACCTAAGGATAGGTACATCCACTTAGTCGTTTTTTAACAGATTTACAAGTAAAATGAACAATAAAAAGTTTGTATTATGCTCATTCAAATGATTAAAAGGAAAAAACTGTAGACATCGGTAAGTGATTTGTTCTGCCATAAATATATTAAATAAACTGTGACTTTTACACTTAAGACCGTCTTTGGTTACTACAGATTATCTATTTACTAGCAAATACTTGTGAATCTAACACTGTTTGAAAGCAATTTTTTCGGATATTAGTACTCTCAACAGTCTGTTTTCCCATTTTTTAGACTGTGTAACTCACCACCTTACTACCCACCAATCTTCAGACAGCTTAAGTAATTTGTCATAAATAAAGTAGAACTTAACAGAGACATGCAGTAACTCAGGTTGCAACACTTTAAACCAGTATGATAGGAAGAAACAAGTTGCATTCAAAAAATTTTCAATAAACATGAATTACGACGGTAAGCATATCATAATTCAAAAGCTAATGTAACTTTGTTATCATACCCTTTTGTCACTTGAGTAGTTTTCGGTAAATTTGCTTCTAATAGTTTCTTTAACTGTCACATAAAGTGATGAAGGATAAGGTATTCTAAATCGGCTACCAGACTTCCAACATGATAATAAATAATATCCTGATTCAACCGCATTGTGTTCTGATAAATTGGAGCTTGTATTTTTTAGCAGCTGATGTTTTTGTAAAGTACTTAAAGTCGGGATTTTTCCAATCGGTAAGTTCGCTGATTTTTCTAGAGGATGAGTAGATGTTTTCATTATAGGCTCATAAAGCTGTAACCGCTGCTTTTTTGCACCGGTATTTAATTGACCACAAGAGTTTGTTAGTAAAAGGAAGGCCCACGCAACCATTAAAGAGCCAATATTTTTCCCACCAGGTGTTTTGGCGTTATCATGGTCACTTCTCCCGAACCTATTTTCAGATGAATCAAGAATCTAAAAACGCACCAAAAACAATTGAAAAAGATCTAAACGTACTGAAAGAGTTCACTAACGAATACCTTGAGTAAGTCAGAAACATGAATTATAAAGGGCAAATAAATTATGTAGTTTGTTTTCGAAGAAGTATACTTTACTACTAATTGCGATACAGTCAATAATGAGACTTTAAAGTGTAATCTAAAATATTATAACATTGATAAGCCATATTGGAATGGTATGTTTTATAAAAGACAACAATGGGATCATGATGAAAACTTGAATCTTTAGGAATCCCATGATAATAGAGGAGAGATCTACTCTCGTGATCAGAATAATATAGACTTTAATTTTCTGTTTTGTAAATTAATTTGCAGCTGTATTCCTGACTACTGGACTGCTTTGCCAGAATTCATGTTCATATTTATGGTTGACAAACGGTTCAAAACATTATTCTGCAGAAGCCAATGCAAACTGGAGTACCTGTGCTTGTCACTAATAAGAACAAACGATTTTTGTTTAAAAGAATTCCAAATGAATAAGATTTATCATGCAATAATTCACGTGGTGTAACTATCTAGCTTCATGGATTTCTCAAAATAACCAACCGATTTTTTCAAGGTTCTGAGGAAAATTTTTACCTTTTTAGCGTAAAAGAAGCTCTAGACTAAATGCTATCATGTAAACAATTTAAGAAAATCCAAATCAAACGTTTTTCTTAAAAATAAACCCGAAATAATAAAAGCCATAGTGACTAGTCTCTAAATACACTAGAAAATATTTTTGAGCATGTGAATCAAAAGCTGAAATTACCTCAAAAAACAAAATAACATTTTTGTTGTTTGCAAAAGTTTGGAAATTCTCGTTGACAATGATAATTTCATCCCAAACAGGCATTAGTAAATCCTGATATTTTGTGCTAACTATCCTTGAGTTAACGGGCAGTATGTGGGAAGAATGTTCTCCCATAAACTCGGAAATTCTATTGCTTTAGCATGTAAATTAATTTTTTACTTTTCTTCATATTTTATGTAGTCTTCTGTTTTTGTATCCATAATATGAATTCGAACGAATAGGGAGCACGCAGAAGGCGTGACTTTCAGTCTATCAGTCCTGTGAATAATAAGTTCAAGGATGCAATCTTTTCTAGCAACAGTTTCATTAATTTTAGAATTTCTTTCATCAAATGCTAAATTAGAATTATCGAAAAGGCTTTCAACCTTATGTACTTGGACTGCTAGGCAACTTCTTGTTAGATTTTTCCCCTGTGTTCTTCCTAGAACTGCCCCTCAAATGTGGACTATTAGAGTAGAGAGCTTTAGTTTGAAAAACCCACTTTGATATACTTTCCATCTCTTCCATCTCAAACGATTCATTTTTTATCCCAGACTGAAAAACAGAAGTAATCGGTGAAATAAAGTTTACTTTTTGCTTCGGCATTTTCCTACTAGCTCTTATGATTTTCAACTAGACTTGACATGACCTTCACGTTTTCATTACACTAGTAACGTAATTTAAAATATTGACGGTAGGTGTGCACACTGTTTAATAGTTTAAACACGTTGCCTTTTTTATAACAGTTCTAGTGACTAATCAATGTATGAGCACTATTTTAGAGACAGACTTACACATCTTGAAGATTGTAAACTTAGCCTCCTTTTTTAAGAAATTCTTGTTTACGAACTCCGTAAGCTGTCTAGATTTAGAGATGATAAAAGAGGGAATACGTGAGAAGACGTGTATTTACCTGTGAAAACTAGGAGAAGGTACACTGAATCAAGAACGCATAGCTCATTTATGCAGCGTAATCACTGTTTGACTTCTTTCCTTATTAAATATATTATGCTAATCCAAACCCAAGAGCGTTTTTTGAGAGTACTAAAAGGCATACAGCAAATCGTCAGAATAAAATAGATTAGATTGGCTTTTGTAGTTTTGTAAGATCTTCTAGATTAGGTAGTCACATCATGGAAATTATATAATTGTAGAATGAGCCCATAATTCTAAAAGCACAGATAAGTGTACTAATAATGACTTTAACCTAATTCTTGCACTTAAAGCCTTCTGAGGGAATATGTCGCTTAAAAATATCGTAATTAGGCAATACCAGATTCAAACATCTACGCACTGACTCCAAGGTAAATAAAGAAATTGGAGACAGATTGCGTATTTGAAATTTTACAATCCACTTGTACGTCTATTGTAAAATGTTCGAGAATCCCGGTTACCCTGAGTGTAGACTTATACCACTCCAGTGGCACGACAAATATTTCTCGTTCTCCGTAAAGATTAGTGTTTTTGCCCGTGTACGGTGTGGAACAGATATAATTTAATGAGTAATTAAAGAACTTCCACACCTTATTTCTGATTTTGATCAGTCTATCTAAATATATAGCGATGTTTCCTGGTGTTTGTAAATTTTAATATTGTTTCCAGAAAGATGCGTTTGGTATTCATCATAATTTGTTTTGGTGTGAACTATTTGCGTTTTTACCAGGTGAATCATAGTGATCTATTTCTTGTTCTGGTCGTAATCTGCAAAAACTGCTTCTGCTGTTGACTGTCCCGAAGAATGCTCTAATTCTACCTCAGTTTATTTGCTATCATCATTACTATATTGCTGACATTTTTCGAAATGTCGTTAGCAATTGGATAATATTCAGCTTCAGAGTACCGCAATAATCTTGTTTAGCTCAACATTATCTTTTAATGCTCTTCAAATTGAAGAACTTCTGATTAGATAATTTAGCTGGATCTGTTATCTGGTTTCATCATTGGTGTGAAGAAACTGTTTTATTAGTTTTAGAGAGAGAGTATTGTTTCGAACGCTTAATTAGTTGTCCTTTTCCTTATTAGCAACATGAAAATCTCAGTATAGCGACTGGTGGTTCTCAAAAATGTTTGAAACATGTTGAGATGGTCCCTTTTTGATAGACTCGTGCTTTCGATTTGTGCTTCATTGTTTAGTGTGTCGTGCCGCGTGTCGTGGTTGACTGCAGGCACCGCCACAGACCAATTACGTTTCCGTCAGTAAGCATAATATCTCCGTGAATCAAGGGCATAGAAGAAAAGTTGATCTATACAGGTGAATATTTTAGCTGGCGATTTCGAAGGAACACCGATATTGTGCCACAGAAAAAGGGCGAAGTTACAGCAACCAGTATAACCGGAAACGGCAGTAACACAACCGGAAAGGTTTTGCGTACAGGGTACGAATAAACAAAGAGTACAGTAAGACAATCACTTGTACGATTGGTTATAATAATGAATGTTTATACTAAATCAGTCGCGTTCTGTTCCTGAAAGTGGAGTCACCACAAGATGGTAGGGAGACGACACATCGAGTACCTATCAAAAAAGAAACTCTAGAAATGAAAAAACAATTTCTATTTCATGACTACATTTAAGCCATTTCTGTACATTTTTCTAGGTCGTAAAGTAGGAGATAATGGTTAAACGCGTTTTCTAAATGGATGTCTCGGTTACGTGACCAATTATTTCTTTAAACAGAATAGTTCAATTAATTGTGGCTTAGATATTTGATTATGTCTGCCCGGAGTCCCTCTGAGGTCGATGCTAGTCCCAAGCCTGGAAAAAGGACAACGGTTCTACATGAGGTTAGAGATCCAACTTGGTGAAAAAGCGCTATTCAAGAAAATTAGGTCAAACAGTTTTAACGCTGCCCTGGAAGTTGGAAGTTCTTCAAATGAAAGAATTGTGGTGGCTCGTGATGAAATCAACGTTTATTCAGAAGGCACGAGGCTGAAGCCGCTATTCTCAACCTTTGCAATCATTAGAGAAAGAGAGAGACATTCAAATTGCTGCGGAAGTTAAAAGATGCAACCTGCTGTTGCAGGTCGGACAAAAATGACTAACTCAGGAAAGACGCCGTTATACTCTGAACATGAAGGAGAAAGTGACTCATACACAAGTTCTTGTAGGAAGGGAATGTAATGCAGTTAGTATCATCAAAACCATTTTAAAAAGAAAAAGTTGATTCACAGTGAGCGTTAACCAGTTCTGTGCGCCTACAAACGATAATTACGAGGACAGAGAAGATAAATTCAATGGGAGGCTGAAGTCAATCGTCAAGGAACTCCAAACAAAGGACTTGGTAGTTCTAATAGTAGAACTAATCGCTAAGATTATATTGGACAACATGGTGTACGAAGATATTATGGGAAGAAATGGATTAGGAGAAAGGAATAAAAACAGTGGGCGACATGCAAATCTATGTGCTTTCAACAGACTAGTCACAAGTGGCACCATATTACCATACAAATGAATACACAAAGATACATGGATTTCTTCGGATCACACTGCACACACATCTGCATCGAAAAAATTAGAACTAACATGGAGGTCGTAAGATCATCACTTGCTGGTCGCCAAGATGAAACTGAGACTAAGTTAACAGTGCACAAACGGAGGATCAGCAAACTCAGATAATTCAGGATAACCATCAGGAATTATAATAATTTATTCTTAAATAACATGTCACAAGAGACATGCCAGTTTACTGGCAAGAACAAAGTGCTAAGATTGCTAACATATCTTCTGTAAAACATTGTTCAATTACTGAAATATTTCAGGAGATAGATTGGCTTCATATAGATGGCTAAAAGTTTACACATAAAATTATCGATAATTTTCAAGACTCCGCAGTGTACATTGCGAGTTACAACGGTTGCGTTACAACGAACTGCTGATTGCGAAACAATGCAAGATAGAGCCAGGTCTGTATATAGCAAGAATTGATGGGGTAAATGTGCTAAGGTCTTGTTGATATTCGTCAGCTGATAAATTTGCAGGCTCCTGGGTAAAGTAACCAAGTAACTGGCAAGATAACAAATGGGAAATTGATCGTATGAATAAAAGAAGTTAAGAAGCACCGAATTGTTAGTAATAATGTTGATTATCGGAATATAATGATGAAACACAGCGATCTGATGTTTTTGTGTAATTTTATTTATTTGTTTTTCTTTTTAACCTGTGATGGCCAATTTCGACGTGCTCTTAGTCTTCGTAATTAGATTGTCCAGACAATCGTTAATAAATAGCGTCTGACGGTTTATAAATCAGAAGGTAAACTCGAAGTGTTGAATACGTTTATTTTGGCACACCACAAATAGGGATAGCAGACCACAGGCAGAACGGACAGGCAAACTAGCGAGTGAATGGGCGAATGTGCAAGTGAATTAACAAGATTAAAATGTTTGTATATATACAAAGGAAAATGTCTGAGTCATCGTGATATTTAAGAGATCAATATTAAAGCGGATAGGATGCATGCGAGCGTAGGCGGTAAGCAATTCTCAGTCACACCAGCACATACAAACCACACAATAATAAAATCCAATAGTAGATATAATTTATTGTTATAGAGATTGCTTGGTTAAATAAATTAATCCAAAGGCTTGACCAAATTAAATGTAAGAGAATTCAAATATATGTGGAGGCACTACAAACCTTGTAGCTCAAAAAGTCGTGAGCTCTTTTTCTGTGTAATTGTCCAGATCTGCTTCTAGAAGGATCTCTAGTTAGGTTACAATCTACTCATGAAAATAAAACTGTCATGGAGAGCGACTGGAAAAGCATGAAAGCTGCAGCAACTTCAACATGCTGTGAGGAACAGAGCCTGATGAACCACCATCATAAAAATTATACTACCACCGATATTCAGAAAAAAGGGCAAGAATAATTCACCAACGGACTGTCTAACAATAGCGGAGAAAGCCAAGGCACAAGCTGAATACGCAGAAGCAAACAAGCAAGTGAAGAATATGAGAAGAACTGAAAAGCGAAAATGAATGAAATACTTGGAAATGACATCGGAAAAGCTTCAATAGAAGGAAATATTACATGACGGGAACAAGCCGTGATCAGGAACATATATTAAATCTTAAAGACCGATCAAGAAGAAGAAATGCAAAACATCAACTGAGATCGAAGAACAGCTAAACTGGTGAATAGAGCACGTGGAGGGATGCTTGAGTCGATCGGCTCATTGACTCCAACTAACATCAAGGCAGCACCTACAGACATCCTATTTTATATTAGCCCTTCAGCGACTGAAGAAATCAGCATTAGGGTGACAAATTCAAACAACACAATATACCGGGTGAGGCACTGAAGTAACAGCGCAGATGTTGAGCTCTCTGTTCTGCAACATTTTGGATGAAGAACAAGTAAAAACAGACTGGAAAGGAGTACACCACGTCGGAATGCCAAACAAAGGAGATTTCAATAAGTGTGAGAGCTGTTGAGGCATCATTCTACATTCAATACCAGAAAAAATCTTCAACAGAAGGGTATTTCACCGAATGAAGGATTCAGTAGGCGCCAAACTTCGATATAAGCAGACTGGATTCCGTAAGGATCGATCGCTTACCAACCAAATCGAAACACTACGAATCAGTGTGGAAGCAGCCATTGAATGGAACTCAGTTCTGTAAAAAAACATCATTGACTGAGAGGAAGCACTGGACAGAATGGATAGGATGACAATTGTGGAGGCTTATTCGATAATATGGTGTACAAGTGAAGATTATCAACACTACACAGCATTCTTGTGACGGTCTACAATGAAAAATCTTGCATGACAGATCTTAGACTCATTCCAGGGGGAGGCCGATGTCAGACAAGGTTGCTTACTCTCACCCTCTTTCTTTCTGCTGGTGGTTGACTGGATTATGAAGGTACCAACCCGTGAGATGGAGCAAGGATACAAAGGGGAGCTCAGATGCAGCTAAGCGACCTGAACTTCGCACATGATCAAGTTATTCAATCCCGCACACAACAAAAAACGGAGGAGAAGACGACAAGTGTAATAGCAGTTTCTCCAGCATTTGGGAAGAGGCAAGACCCTTCGATACAGCACAACATGCATCAACCAAACCATACTTGAAGAGGAAGTTTTGGATGATGTGGAGACTTTTACACACATATACAGCATCATTGATAAAGAAGGTGGATCTGATGGAGAAATGAATACACGGATAAACAAAGCGAGGTCAGCATTTTTACTGTTGAAGAACATCTAGAGCTCGAAACAACTACTGGTCAACCAACATCACAATCACGAATTTCAAAACAAACTTCAGGGCAGCGGAAACTCGGGGAACCACGAGAGCCATCATTCACAAGATACTGGTGTTTATCAACAACTGCTAACGCAAGATACTGAGGACCCACTGGGCAGACACCATCAGCAACAACCTATTGTATCAGAGAGTAGATCAGATTCCAGCTGAGGAAGAAATTAGGAAGGGGCTCTGGAGTTGGGTAAGGTATACTTTGAGGAGAACAACCAACGGCGTCACAACCTCTGGCAGTTTCTATTTCGGAGTTCCGAAGGATAAAAGAGAAGAGACGGATCAGTGAGCACATAGTAAAAGAAATGGAAGACAGACGTGAGAAGAATAAACAACATATGGCAAAAGGTGGAAGGGAGATTCTTGTACAGAGTAGGATGGCGATTGCTGGAGGCGGCCTATGCTCTACATAGGTTAGCAGGCGTAAGAAAGTTAGTAGGTACATTTTTGATCCATACGATGAGACAGCAATGTGGCTGGTCTCTAAAGTGGTTGGCTGGAAGAGGATATAAATTTCATTACAGATTGCTAAATGGTTCGGTGCAAGGGCCTTTTATTTGGTCGTCGGCTAGTACGGTTCCAGGAACTCTTGAAAAGTATTCATCAGCATCTGTTTCCTGCAAGGCTGCTTATTAAAGACCATCGTTCAGGACTACAGTTACAGAGCAGAGACCTAGGTTCGTGCAAACCTTTTCCCAATAAGAGTGGTCGCAGCTTTGAATGCTCTTCCTTTTAAAGTAACCATAGCCTACTCAGTGGATACCTTCAAGAAGAGACTTGATAAACATGTACTCTCTTACAGATTATTATCTCTCCCTAGGACCAGCTGTGCTTGATGTCTCAAGACTTCCTGGTTGTTATTAACGCAATGTCCTCAGATCATTGACATATCCTTTCCGCCCATCACTTCTGTTTTCTCTGCCTCGGTTACACTTCTATCCTCTAGCATAATCTTCACTACCAGTCGATTAACTTATTTATGTACTGAGTTTTTATTTCTCATTCGCACTGGAATTTTCTCCGTATTGTTCTCCATACTGCAACTGACTGATCTCCGGCCTGGTAATATAATAGCTGCTGGTATCCAGAAACACTACTGCCCTGAAACCAACGCATTCTTTCAAATCACAGGAGATACAAATTCAAAACTTCCAGTTGGCTAGAATTAGTGCAGGAAGAACAAGAATGGAGCTCAAAGAAAGCGTTCACACGAGCCCAAACTATCTAGGGGACGCAGTCTAGGCGAATGCGACTCTTCACTTTATGCGAAGACAGCTTGGTGCTATCAGTCCACAACTATTCTTAACGTTATTTAATACAAACGCGCGCCCATACCTGGAGGTTCACAACGTCATTGAACCCCCTCTGCTTAAAAGAGATAAATCTCTTGGATCGAGTGCAGAGTCGAGCAACGAAATGGGTTATAGGGTTGAAGCACAAACTTTACGAAGATGGACTCCAGCACTTAGGATTACTCTACCTGAGTTGAAGTAGAATGAAAGGTAATCTGATTATGGCATGCAACGTATAAAGCACGTCAAACCATCCCATTCCGATGCATCACCACCACTCCCCTCGAGGCAATCCGCGAAAAATTGCGCATCGAAGAGCAAATACTCAAGGTCGTGAACGCTTTTCTCATCAAGAGTCGTTGCAACTTGGAATGCTCTCCCAGCGAGGATGACTACATCTCCCATCAATGGAGAGCTTTAAGAAGAGACTCGATAAACACGTACTCTCATACGGATCATCGTCTCCCTCGTGGACAAACTGTGTCCGATGCAAGTCTTGAGACCTATTAGTTGTAACTATTGCCATCTCCTCAGATCACTAACTTAATATGTCTCGCTCATTATCTCTGTTTCCTCTCCCTTGTTTACATTTCAGTCCTCCCTCACAATCTTCACTAATACTTACTAAACTAAATTATCTATTGATTAACTTAGTTCTGAAATCTTCATGTTGGCATTAGAATTTTATCCCTATTATTCTCCAGATTGCAACTAACTGATCTCCGGTCTGACACTGTGATAGCTGCTGGTATCCAGAAGTCCTACTACCCTGAAACAAACGTATCCATTGAAATCACGGGACATACAAACTCGCTACCAACTGCCAACTGACTAGAATTAGACAGTCAAGTGACAAGAGCTCCATCCATTAGATACTACCAAACACCTTGAACCGTACCGAAAGAACAAGAGTCGAACGCAAAGAAATGAATTGGTTTCTACTAGCTCGTTAAAAGGATATTGGATATTGGTTGTAATCAAACTGTGCGTTACCTCATGTGCTCAAAAACTAGTGAATGGCTATTAAGGGAGATATCTAACAGGAATGCTCAAACAAGGTGCCCCAAAACCGAGAGATCGTGCGTCGACTCATCTTATGTAAATTGTGAAGTAAATATGATTCACACTAGTTCATGCTGTTTTAGGATGACTTGGCCGTCCACAAAGATAAATTGAAAGAGTTACATGCATGCTTAAAAAAAGCTTTGGCGACTCCAAAGCCACTCGGTGGACCTATAATCCTTTTGACTGGACCTACAGGTTCTGGAAAGACTACTGCTGTTGAAGTTCTTGCCCGCTCAACCTTTGATAAAGTTAACATTATAGAGTTTCTGGATGAAGGCATTGGTCATGATGAGTATACAGAGATTGAGAAATTCGTTTTGTCTTCTGGAGTTTATGGTGGGCGATCAGTCATTTCTGCAGAATCTGAAAAGTCACCAGAGTGTGTCTCTCCGATAACAGTTATGATCCTCGAAGTTAGTGATTTAGTTCTAATATTATAGTTTGATAGTTATAATCTTTGAAGCTAGCTAGTCTTTTTGTTGGTGGTATGTTATGCATTCTTCCCTTACATCAGCTTTGTCTTTGGTCTTCATGCTTTCACTCGTAACTCGTGTTCTTTTATCCCTTATATTCGTCTTATGGCTTCCTGTTTGTTCCATCTGCATCACCATTTCTTATTCATATCGTATTCCTGTGTTTTTCACTGCTCCCCGTTCCTTCCACAACAATTTTTATCCGGACAAACATATTACCAGTTAAACTGGTTGTTTGGTCAATAAGTTCCGTTTGTACAAGCTTAGTCTTGATTTGCATTCCTACTTTTTCACCAAGTTTCATGTCAGTGCAAATGGTGAATTAGGTGCTTAATTATTTTCGTCGGTAATTTTTCCAAAAAAAGTAATGATTAAGCGTCATTGTTGGACAAGTCTTGTGCCTCAAAGTTAAGTCGGTCAGATTATAAAGGTGCACTGATGATGATGGCATGACTAATGTATGGTATCAGTTAGTTATAAACAACGTAGGACCTGGTATATTCTTGGGTGCAGCTACTTATACCAGTATATGCTTCCATCAAATCCTACGATATCCGAGTAAGGCTTAGTATTAGACTGCTTGAAATATATCCATTATGGTTTATCTATCCCTGTCCAATTAATGTACAGTTTCACCCTTCCTGGTTATTCATTGTCCTATTTTATGATTCTCTAAAGTTACGTAAGTTAGAAATTATACTAGCTCTGTGCGATATAGTCTGGAATCCATAGTATCCTTGTTTCTGAACTTTATAGCTGATGAGTATTAACTATTCGTACAAAAAACTTCAGAAAATTCAATCAATTTACTTATTACATGGATAATATTGAGACACTGTGCGACCAGTAAAAACATAAAGTATTGGAAATTTACCGTCCACACCTTATGCTTCAAATTTCCTGATAATGTAATGAAAGTCATATGCATTTTACATAAGTAGTATGCATTGGACCGTCGGATCCGGATGCATAGCGCGATCAGAGTGTTTAGACTAGAAGACATGTGAAAGAACGCAACCAACAAAACGTGTTTTACAAGTGCATGTTTAAAGATAAGGTGTACACATTTTTGGCTAGTAAACTGTCTTCAAATAAATCGCTTATCCCATCTGGTCTTCCGCCTTCGTCGACTACGCCTCTGCTGTCTGTATGTTACTGACATCATAAGAGATTAACGAACAGTATACATCTATTCATTTTGTCCATAGCTATTGAGTTGTAATTTTTCACATTTAAAGCCACGTGTTTAAAAGAGTTTGGTCTCAGTCATCAAAAGATTTAGTGAAGTTTTGCTTATCTGAGCTTACTTTTTTGTGTTTTGATTAGTAAGATTTTTCAAACAATTTTTATTTAGAATAACGATTTATCGTAAGCATCTATATTTAGTCCGTATTTATTTAGTATCGGACGGTACAACAAGTTAACATGTGGTATTCAATATCTTATTTTTGCCTTTTAAGATTTTCATTGGTTTTCAATGTTACACTACACTATTTTATGCATTTAGAATCTTCCTGCTGTTGTTGGCGAACATCCTTCCCGCCTTCATAATCTTCTCCGTCTTCATAGTGCACGTGCGTGTGTAAATTGCCTATTAGTTCTTATTTTGTCCTCTTCTTCGGTCGCTGAAAATGAACTAAGTGAAAGGATTATTTGTCCTCCTACCTTGTGTAGTGAATTACTTATACAGCGCATAGAATTCAATCCGGTCGCACCAACGATTATAATCAAAGCATTAAGTAGAATCGGGAATGTTATGGCTCAACAGGTGAGATCACTCAGCGTATTTATATTTATATCATGTGTTTATAGTCAGAAATATTTGTTCATATGCCCGATAGTTACTTTTGCGATCATAAGTACTTGGTGAGTCAGGAGGGTATGTTATCTCACTCGAAGAAGCAAAATTCCAAAGTAACATTAGTTGATTTTTAGCCATACTTTGTTTTTGTGTTAGGACCAAAATGCTCCGACGTAAGTAAATGAAGTGCGATTGGAACCTGCAACTAAATGGTCAGATGTTTAGTGCTTTAAAAACTAAGCCATTGTTCAATCTGGGTTGACTTACTGTCAACCGTACTTATTGTTTCTGTTTGTAAATAGTCATGCATTTAAATACAATAAAGCTGCTTCTTACCTTCAAAACATTAGTGACTTGGAGCGAACTCGTGAAATAAATAATTTCTAGGATAGACATAAGGTTTTCTGCAAAAAATGGATTCTTTGAAGTTATAAACTTGTATTATTCAAACTGATATGTGTATTTTACAGTTCATTCTAGTCATTTGATATCATTTATTTTGTAACCTGAACCGAAGCACCTTATAGTCAACTCCCTCGGTGTTATGTATGCTTCTGTTTTACATTTGTCCAGTATCTGAGTGTAATAGCTATTTGCTATTCCTAACGATTTGCAAACGTGCCTATATTCAAAATGAAAAGAAGATATGTTCGATCTATGTATTTCACAACTAGTGGTAACTCTCAACTAACCATTAGTTATTATTTGAACACAACTATTGATACAAAGGGGCACCTAAATGTTATTGCCCCACACTACATTGAATGTGTAAGTGGGCTTATATACTACCCGGGTTCAGAAACCGAAGCAGGTGGTTTTTTAGAGGATTACTTCCCAAACCTTTTACCTAGACGTCTAATCCGCAAGGCAGTTCAGCAACGTTAGGAGATGCAATCCCAAGGTAGCTGTGGGTCAAAAATAGGCTCATACGCTATTTTTTCCTTCAGGATCCTAAAGCCCAATTTGCACCATTGGTTTATATTCAAGGTTTGCCAACTCCCCTAGATAGATCCTCCGTTTCCACCAACACGGTTAAAGCGCAGGAGATTTACTCTTCGTGCTCTCAGTCAGTCAGTTACAACGTAGATTATACGTTCGTACATCAGTTCAGGTCGCCATACAACATTAGCACAGAGACGCAACTGTCAGTTCAAACCCAATAGTGGTAGCGATAGTAGGAGAATCAATGCTAATGGAGAAGATTAGGATTTGAAGATAATATTCAAGAAGTATAATTCATTGAGATAAGTTTAGAAAGGCAAAGGTAGAAGTGCTGACGAATCTAGAAGATTAGGATTCGAGAGAGCAAAACGAATGGATGCACTTGTGCCATTGCGAACAGTTTTGAGCCGTCATTCAAGGTCTCTAACCATTGGTGACTTTCGTCTCGCGGACCCCAACCAGGTAGCCTACATCTACCAACATCACTCAGTCCACTTGTCAGTGACTTCACGGATTTCTGCCATGTTTTGGTCTGGCCGCCCCTAGCTCTCTTCCAACCTACTCCTACACCACAAAACATTGCTCGTCGCGGCAGTCGGTGGTTAGACATTCGTAACACATGTCCCAACCACCTCAGCTGATGGAGTTCCAAGACTACGTCTACTGATCTGCCATCACTGCCTTCTGTATCCGCTCTGAGATTTCGTCAGTCACCAGGCTATCAGCACTGATGGAACTCATCAGATAAGTGAAGCGGTCTACACGTTCGACTACTTCACTTCCTATCACTAGTTCGGGTGCCGATGCAACCCAATCTTGAAGCAACATTTTGCATTTCGAGGGGGAAAACCGCATCCCAAACATGCTTACATTGTTGCTTGGGGTAGCATTTCGTTACCGTCTTCACCGAATAGAACTATGTCATCGGCATATTCTAAGTCAATAAGCGATCTTCCTGGTAGAAGGTCCACTCCTGAAAAATCTGACGAGGATAATGTGAACTCTAAAAGGGTGTCTACAACAAAGTTAGACAAGGATGGAAGAAGGGACATCCCTGACGGACAAAACTTGAAGTAACTAATTCCGATGGCAGTTCGCCACAAACTCTTACTCGAGCAGTGGTGTTCGAGTAGAGAGATTGTATAAGGTTAGTGTACTTCTGAGGTAAACCTTTTGATGATAGGCACTGCCACAGAACCTCACGATCCATAGAGTCAAATGCCACCTTTAGGTCTATTGTAGGGACTATTGTAGGGCGCCTAAATATGTCTGTGTTCCAGGACCTGTCGTGGTGTAGAAATGTGGTCTATGCAGCCACGTCCAGATCAAAAACCAGCTTGGTTTTCTCTAGTCCGCTCTTCACAAGCCTTAGTTAGGCGTCTAAGGATAATCGAGGCCTAAAATTCAGAAACTATATTAGTTAGACTTATTCCCCTGTGATTGTCACGAGAAGACTTTTGTCCTTTCTTATAAATTGGGACAATCAAGGATTGCGACCAGTCAGAAGGCAATTACGTCCAGTTCCCAGATCACTTGTAGAGGTGAATTATTTGACGGAGCTTTACCAAATGGTAAGGCAGAATGAGTGTTAAATTGGCTTTTGCCGATTACTGACACAAAATTATTGTACAGAGATTTTTATAGTCAAACTATTGGAGTTGAATTGAATTGTGTCCTATTGTTAAAAGTTTCAGTTAATATAGTTATGTATATCCCACTGTATTATAGACAAATGATAAATTTTTATCCGGAATTCTTTTCAAAAACGGACTGAAAAGGTCTGTTTTAGCAACATGACTTATTCTGAGCATCACTTTTGTTCAGCTATCCCCTAAATCAGCCATCATAAAGTTCAAAGGTAAGGTTTAAAGTGTTGTTTGTTGTACCTAAATGCGTTATACTTGTAACAGAAGTCAAGTCTTTTCGTATATCTTATGTATTTCGTCTCTAGTAAATTTTCAAGAGACAAGAACATCTATAATATTATCTTCATTCTAGTTCCTAACGTGACCATTTATACTATAGTGTTTATTTATGGCGTAAAATGAATTCTTATCGATTTGTGTGATTTATTGTTTTGGTTTTACAGATTGCTACTGCATCATTTTGCATCATAAATATACGAATTCTTTTTATATGCTAGCGCTTTGTACATATATCATCTTATATTCGGTTTCCTTCAATAGCTTGGTTTGAAACTACCGTCTCGTCAATTACTGCAATCTATAGCGAATGACTGTTCTGGAGATATTCGATCGGCTTTTAATCAGCTTCATTTTCAGCTTACTTCAGGTACATTTATCACCAATTGTAACGTGACTTTGGTTTTCACACATCCGTATCATATACTCATTAAAATTTTGAAGCGGTCAAGATGCTAGTTTTTATTCCCTCCCTGTATGCATAACCATATCAGTCAGTTAGTTCAGTCACCTACAACGTAGAGTTTTGTACGTACGTATGTCAATCAAAGTCACCGTACTTCATCAGCACAAAGAAATGGAATTGTCATTTCAAACTCCATAGTGGTAGAAGTAGTGGAAGTCTTAGCGGTAATGAAGAAGATTACCGATATGACTAAAGAAGTGTAAGCCAGTGAAATAAATTTAATAAGAAAAAAACAGTCATGAGGAATTCAGAAAATTAAGATTTAAGAGAAGACAAACAATGGATGCAACTGTGCCATTGCAAACGATTCTGAACAATGTTATTCAAGGTCTCTAAACTTCGGTTACGATTGTCTCGCGGGCCCTAACCAGGTGGTCTACACCTACCAACATGTTTCAGTCCAGTTGTCTTCTTTTTTTGATGAAGATTGTTCAGTCTATAAAAGCACGCTCTTTATGAATTACGAGAAGTTGTTCTTGTAGTACTGGAGCAAGACTTACAATTTGCGTTGCCAAAACAATAGTTGAGGCAGGGTTACATGAGTTCATCTTATTTCGTGGTAAGCAGCTGAAACAAAACCACAAAATAAGATGGATTCATATTATTCTGCCTTAACTTTCATTCTGGTTTTATTCAAATTTGTAGGATAAACTCATTATATGGAACGAGTTCTCATGAATATTTTCAAAATTTTTTCAGGTTGTAGTCACTTTTTCTCCTGTTCGACTAGAGATTCCTTCGATGTACCATAACAAGAATAAAATGATTTTCGATTTGAGTTCACTTATATGACTTGTGTGTGGAACAACTGTCAATCTGTTTTCGAGTCCCTTTCAGAATCGTTCACTTTTTGACCTTCTACGAGTGTTTTTTTATCCCAGCAATCCATATTTTCTTCGAGAATTTTATTTTCTACGCTTAAACTTTCCTGTTTTCATCAGTAATGTTACTACCTCTACTAGTCTGTAATTTATCGCGATAATTTCGTCTAGCTGTGTCAATAACTTATGCCAACTTAACTGATCCACCTATGTGCCAGGTTTCACGTTGAATTATGACTGACTATGTTGTTGGTTTATCAAAGGCACTTTTCACTATTATTACTATTTAATCCTTATCAGTCATGATATTTTCACTCTCGATGCGTTTATTACAAATGAATTTGTTAGTGAAATAACATATTCCAATTCGAAAATATATTTCAATGTCGCAACATGGCTTATACTTTTTTATTTGATTTTTATGTAATTTAATTCGACACAGCTCTCGTAAAAAATGTAAGCAGTCTTAACTGTTGTAATCAAACTAAAAGTATTATATCAATATTGAAAGTATTTGTGTATTCATGTAGTCTTCGTCAACATTTTCATCATTATTACGAAAGCATTAATATAAGCAACTTCGTAACCAAGATTAGGTCCGTACAGTAAACTTTTTGAGTTACGTTTAGTTCAGATTAGTATGTTACTACTACCTGGGAACTAATTTCACCATTAAGCTATTGTTCCGCTAAAGCCGTTGATTATAAAACCATTGGGAGTTTTTAAAACTCGATGGGCTTAAATGTAATGGGACCTAAAAGTTAGATTCGTTTTTATGTCGGCTGACAGGGATTATTACAGATAGGAAGTGAAAGAAAACTAGAGACAAGACAGACAATCGTTCACTATTCCCATGTTATTCGATTGTTTTCTATATTGAATAAAGACTTTTTAAAATTAAACATTATTTTATTTGTTATTTGCAATCAATAAAACTTCAGATTTATGTAAAACAAGGATTTTAAAGATTATTCAATAAATAATCCTAGGGAAGACTGTTTATGAAAGCAATTCTTTTTTTTCCTCTGACTATGCACTTTTGGAAGTACTTTATCTACAATACAATTAAGTTTAGTTAAACAATCAGAGAAAATTATGAATCAGTGAATAACTATTTTATTATAATTATTATTTATACTACTAATGGCGATAGTTTTGATTCGTTTTTATTTTTATGATTTTTTTACTTGTATATTTTTACAGATAAAGGGAATCGAAACAATTGTACACTATTATCTTCTCATCGAGATGGAGTTTTATCACTATTTCGTACTATAGGCAAAATACTCTATTGTAAAAGTAAGTTGAAAAAAAAATATAGAAAACTGCCCATTTATGTTCATATGTTTAAATAGAAAGAAAACGATTAGTTTTACAATGATCTTTATCACATTTATTCATTGAAAATGTTTTTTTCCAAAAAAAACGCATTTATGTTCCATACTTGAATAATTCGAATAGTTTGCATAAAATGATCTGATTTTTTCTCTTTTTTTTTTAATGAATATAGAATTTTCAAGTTTGTTTCAGTGTAGGCTGAATTGAAATCGGTAATCTTTTTAAGCTGGAGAGCACAAAACTCTTTTGTAATCATCTATCTGAGCTACAAATTTCTATCTACCATTTAAACATGAATGTAATGCAATACATTTGGATTGGTCTATATAGTAGTTGCACATTTAGAAAAATTTTTACTACATTTTGACTTGATTATCAGTTAATTGATTTACAGAGATGGTGGAGAAAATTTGTAGCTCGGGTGGATGATTGTAGTGGTGTTTCGTTCTCTGAGCCCTGGATGTTTTGGTTGTAAAGGTTTCATTGTTCTTCTGAATAACATCATCAGCACAAATTTCAGATGATAGCAGAAGTGAAGTATTCGAATTTCCCCACGTTTGGCCTGTAGCCTGTTCTGTTAACCTCGATGTCGATCAAAAGGGGGGATAAAATCAAAACAAAGATGCAAACAACGACAAACTTAAGGTCAACAGCAACCATCACAATGTTTACACACTCATTTTAAAAATATTTTTTCCTATTTCGTGATTTTGTTTCAATCGATGAAGTTGTATCTTTCTTTGTGTGAGAATGTAAAAAGTGTATCAATGTGAACCGTTGGAAGTTTGTGTCATGTCTAATTACAGTGTATGATTGATTACAAATAGTCATTGGAAACAGAGTATTTTGTTAACTTACATGATAAATTGGTTTTTCGAAAATCTCTCATTCAGAGTTAATAGTAATTAAAACAATTTTAGTTCAAGTATAATAAATAGTACGCAATCTTAAATTGACACACGCCAGATAACATCGTAAACAATAAGTGTAAACGAAAATAATGAAAATTTACAAAATGAATATTAGGATATTACAAAATGGACAAATGTAGAATTTTGTGCATTATTGTCAGTTGTCACTTTGGAAGAGATTTAAAGAATGATAAAGAATAAATACCGTCTTTACTTTTTTTAACATTATGAAGGTCAGCACTCATCCAACTACATGATTCAAATGAATTATAAATAATATTTTCGGTTGATCATTTTTACTTATCTGTTTCTCACTAGTTAGTGTACTGGCTGTTGCTCTAAGTAATTCGTATCTCAATAGCCTTAGTGAAAGTTCAAGTGGATTTGCACTGTTTACACTACTGATACCTTTCCCTCTCTTGACATCTGCGTCTCTGTGCTAATGTGGTATGGCAACATGAACTTATGTACATACGTACGAAGTTCTACGTTGCAACCAGCTGACTTCCCTCTCTCCTTGAAAGCGTATTTCCCCACTCTAGAGTTACCTTCGTTCATCAGTTCATCGGTCAATCAGTCAGTTGTATTTAAAACTAGTTTTATGTTTCTATCCAAGTATTTCAAGTTTGTATAGTCTGTAAATCCTCATATCAGTTAATATGACTTAAGATCATGGAAATGCCTAATTATTCTTGGATCCCAGGATGCCATACCTTTCTTTCTTTTCCTGTAAATCGAACAAGATTAATTCACATTAGAATTCACTCACTTATATACCGATTAATTGAAGTAATTATTAGAAATCGTCACAACAAAGAGAAAACCACGCTAGACTGATTAGTACTAATGAACATTGCAGTGAGTTAATACGAAAACCCTGTGAAAGAAATTGACAGAAAATCATTCAATGATCGCATACTTGATTTGTTCCCTAAAAATTGTGATTGAGTATTTGACATTCTTAGGACATGTTAGTTAACCATTTCTTCCTGAGATTTGAATTCCTCCTTCAGTGACAATTTAGATCAACGCAATAGGGATGAAAATGATGAATCATAGTGATGCTGAAGTAATTTCAAATACACAGACAAGTTAAGCATAGAAATTATAGTTTAAAAGTAACAAAAGAACACCGACTTATATGGAACTATGTGATTAATATCTGTGAGATAGATAATTGGATTTCTTCATTATGAGATTGTATCAATTTTTTCATGATATTGTGTGTGTTATACTCTAGTAGTGTATTGATACAATTATTATTTAACGCTTTTCTTCTTTTCTCAGGGAAGTCAGTAAACAACGAACAGATGGTATCAAGTCTGAATAAAAAAGAAGGTAAATTACCATCACATTTAGCAACATGGAGGCGGTCTCCACTTGACTTTGATCTTGAGGTAATGATCTACTTGTTAATCTGTTAATTAATTCAGTATGAACAGATTCATCACCCTGTTTTAATATATCGATATAATAACTAACTTATATATCCTATCATACAACCGAATTTTTACAATTGGTTAATGCTCTTCAAGCTAGTTTTTGTTATTACCACAAATACTAAAGTTTTGTTTAAAATAGAAGTTAAACAGAAAGGAAAAAGTTTGTGGTACACTCAGTCAGTCAGTCAGTCAATTACAACGTGGAACTTCATACGTACGCACGTCAGTTCAGGTTGCCATGTTTCATTAGCACAGAGACGCAACTGTCGCTTCAAATCCCATAGTGGTGAAGATAGTAGAAGAATTAGAGGTAATGGGGAATTCTAGGGACCGAAGATATTATTCAAGAAGAATAGTTCAGTGAGATAAATTTAAGAAGACAAAGGTAGAGATGATGAGGAATTCAGAAGGTTTGAATTTGAGAGAACACAACGAGTGGATGCACTTGTGCCATTGCAAACGATTTTAAGCCATGTCGTTCAAGGTCTCTACTACCATCGGTGACTTTTCGTGGTACACTGACATTTTTTGATAAATGGTGGATTATAAGCTGATACAACCATTGTAATTTAAAATCTTACTTTAGTGTAACAACAAGATATTGGATAATTTATAAGTGCTTTTTACATTACATAAGTCGACCTAATCCAATTCAGTGTGTTGAAATTTCTCAAAGGCTTTTAAAGGTTTATAAATCGTTATGTAAATGCTCCTATCTGAGTGTTATTGTCAATTGTCATTTGTTTAGACGTCAGTAATTTTATGACCTAACAATCTTTGGAATGGATATTATCCCCTAATTACTTTCTGCCTAGTTGCGGTCCTGAACAATTTTGTTTTATAGTAACATATTTTCAAACAGTATACTTACTCTAAGCAATCCTGTTTTAGTAAAAGCGATTGTTGTTCTGGAAATTGCATGCTGTCGACTGCCTTGTATTTGTTGTCAATTTTTCGACATTGTAGAATATATATATATGTAGTCAACGCAGTTCTGCTTATGTTATATTTTATAGTATTGTTTTTATCCTAGGAGATACTGGATTTGTGTCATACAGACGGTGGACACATTGTTTCATGGTTGCATGAAAATTATCCTGATTTTTCCCCGAATATGACTGCGTTGGAACTAGTTTCACAACAGTTTAGTTGGTGTGATGCATATTTGACTGGTGGAATGAATTGGCAACTTGGTTTAACGCCAGCTTCAGATTCTTTTGTCTCGAGAAAATTCAAGAGACCGTATAACATTGCAAGCAAACACTATCCAGCTTTGACTACTGCGCAAACAATTCTACTAGCCGATGGAATCGAAGATATCTCAGGGGGTGATTTCTCTAGAAATATCAAAGCGTTTCGTTCTTTCCGTCCACCTTCAACTTTAAGTAGTTGGAAATTGTGCAAGCAGAAACTTGATGCATTAGATGACACTTTCTTAACTTCTAATTCGTTATCACCAATATGGCTAGTTCAACATATGATTACGAGTCGTATTGCAATGGTTTTGGATTATTTGCCTGTCATGTGGAAAGTTTTTGGAGAAGAATGGTTTTCTCAATTCGGTATGCTTTTTTTTTAACTACTTTCATTGTGTTTGTTATCTGTAGAATTATATTGAATCTATTTGACTTTATCATAATTATATTATCAAAAGACATATAACGCAGTTTCAGGTGACTGAAAACCATAATTCTTAGACTGTTGGATAACTCAGTCTTCAGATGCTTCTGTTGTTTGTTCACTGATATATTATGGTTCTCTTGTCCCTGAAGTCACAAAAATTGTCGCCAATAATATTAACCCGTATTTCAGTATTTTTTTCAACCGATTACGATGCATTATTACGGACCCCGAACTCCTGTTTCCTTCTTTCACCATTTCATGTGTTTTCTACGGTCGGTTGGCTTACTACATAATGGTTAATCTATTCAGCCTTCTCTTTAACACTATGCCTGTTTATGTACTCCAGAAGCTTCAGCAAAACCTCGACCACAACCTCTGACGGAGCTTCCCAGCTTCTGGGATATAAATCATATGTCTACTGCTTTAAACTTTAATCTACCAGTTGCAATTAAGATAACGCACAACATTCTAACTTATTTCGGCTACTGTTTCTCAAAACGTTAGAAAGTCATGCAGTTAGTCGGCAACAGTCATCACTGGACAGATGCATTTTATGACCTATTCTTAGAAGATGCGGCATGTCCTCATCTATATTGCAGGAGACAATAAAGTTACAAAGTATCTCAGGCTGCCGAAAGGAAATATGGTCACCTGTTAAGATAGTATTGTACGGTCATTGTCCAGTTTCCTGAGATGCTCTCCTCAAACACACAACCAGACTGTCGAAGTAAAGCGATGGTTGCGCGACAGTCGTTTCCCATTATTTGTTGGTCGCTTTGTACTTATCGTACAACTTCTGAAACTCTCACGTGAGCTATCGGTCTGGTCGGTATTCCATAGTGGTGCAGGTGCACCGTTGCCTTACTGATTTGCGCTTCCGACCTTTTCATGTACACAAAAACATGATGTTTTAGCATAAAATCAACACCGAGTATCATGTACCAAGTTAGAGTAGGCCAAACTAAGAATTCGTGTCGAAATGGAAGCCTGTCTATCGTTAGTCCTACCCGCACCTTGGAACACAGTTTCAAGGGGTCACCACTTGCTGTGACTAGTGCCGGCTCCTGTAGTTTAGTTTTTGAAAGAATTCCTTGATGAGAGATGCTGATGCTACCGTATCCACTAGTATTTCAGTCCCAACACCTTGGAATTTACTTTTAATAGTAACGGGGCACACGGATTTAACATGACGAGAAGAGAAATGGTAAAGACTAGGCTTACCTTGGTTTAGGAAACGATTTTGGCCACATCTTCTGGAACTCCTGTCAAACCGTTTACAATAGAAGCCTTCCGTTTGATGGTCCTGATATTTGGTCCATGGTGGTCGTTTGTTCTTCATGAAACTCGTTTGTCCTCGTCTGACATTACGGTTTGGTGAGTCTCTAACTTTCGCAGCACTTTGAAAATTATCTAATCGGCTAGACTCTGCGGTTTTCTCTACAACCATCACTGTTGATTGACACTCCTCAAATGAAGCTAACAATCTTTCTGCGGCAAAAAGTCACAGTTCTGTTCTCTTCATATCACCTGTATCAACCCGTGGCACTTGGAGGAGATGTTCTCTAAGAGGACCAGGCACCAATCCTTTGAAAAAGCGCGAGAGTGCTAGTTATTCTCGCCCCACGACATCTAGGCAAAGAAATGCTTGGATCGCTATCTGTTGCAAAGGGTGGCGATACTCAATAGGGTCTTCACTCGCTCACAGAAACTCGTTACACACAATCCATTACGCCATAATAGATACACTATGTACAAAACTCGTCAGATTTTTTTCTTTGTCAGGTTATGGGTACAGTCTTGTTTTTAAATTTTTGCAAAACTTCGTGCATTTGTTGGATATTCGAGTACACAGGTTTTATTTTCATGTGTTATATGTGGTAACCAAACTATAATATAAATGTATACTTCAACATAGTGTTTAATTTCTTGATTTTTATACTCACTGATTCATGTTACGACTCAATCCATATCGTTTCTTTTTATCTACTAGACAATTATTTTCAGTGTACACAAAATTGTCATGTTCAAAAATCTGTACTTGATCTAACTTGAATCAATTGAAGTTTTCATAACATTGTCATTGAATAGTCTCTGTCATTTGAATATCAATTGTCTATTTTTATTCGACTTACATTATCTTGTTCCAATAATTATTCATATGTTTGTATTTTTTGTTTTGAAAAGAAATTCTCCATTGTCTTTTATTTTAGGAAATTTTGAAGCGATAACATTATTGTGTAATTTTTCCAGTCAAACTAAACATTATCATCATTCTCAAACAACCACTTCAACTAATCATGCACATGCCTATACCAAGCGTTATCATGTTCAAAATGCTGCTAATTTCAATTGTAATGATGAAAACATTGATTGGCATTGTCCACCTGACGCTGTCAATGAAGGCAACAATTATGAGATTGATGAGAATTTTTCCGATGAAGAGAATATCAAAGTAATTTGATAAAGATTTGTTACCCTTTTCTTTTTTTTTTCCACATTGATATCATGTTGTATAAATAATGATAATTCTTTATTATTTTTCTTTCTGGCTTTTACTCTTCTGCATTTATATTCCGACTACTTTGTTTGTTTGGTTTTTGTATTTTTATCAAAATGTTTATATGATTAAAAGATTATTATTTTGGAAAAAAGCTTTTCTTACATTCAACTAGGCTATGTAAATTATTATTTTTTGAGATTTGCTATTTTAATGTTAGTTTATTTAAAAAAAATTATGGTTAATAAAACTCATTCAACTATTACTGTATCAAATCTTATTTTTTGTATTATTATCATTATTATCTGTGATTCATTCACAAAGTTCATTCATTAAGCAAGTACGGCGTTCAGCTGCTTGATTATGACTGCTACTGTCTACATGCCAATAACTGAGATTATTTCAGTAATGAATGTTGTTCAGACTTGCAATTTTTTTATCAGTCGAAAGTGTTTTACTCAAAAAGTATCAATGACAGTGATTTGTATTGAATTTTAGTTTGCAACTACTAGTGTCGATTACAACAGAATATAAAAACACTGTTATTGACAGTAAATAAAATAGTTTAAAACAGTTAAGGCAAAAAAATAACCTTAAAGATTTAAGTTATTTTTATCAATATTTATTAACAAAAAATAAATATGTCATATAAAAATTGAAAAATTTGATTCACAGAAATCTAAGTAAATTTGTTAATAAAACGTAAATATCATAGGTTTTGTAGTATGTGTACTAATAATATGTTGGACCCATACAGTTTCTCCTAGCTTTCGGACAGTTAACCTTTTCTCCCCAAGTCATTATTCACTTATCTTTCGACTTTATCAGTTATTCACTTAACTCTTGGTTGTTGTTATTCAAGTGTGTCTGCATGCTTATTTCGCTTGTCACATGTCTAGTCTATCATTGCCTGACTGTGAATACTTAGTCATGTCTCGTTGCATGAAGCTGGCTCACTCGCCTTTTCTGCTTCGCCTCGCTTTGCCTTTACACTTGTATTCTCATGTCTGTCTGGCTTAATGAATGCATGAAATAAATTCATCCGCAAAACCGTATTGGGCTTCTTATTACCACCGTCGCACAGATGGGGTTCGCCTAAGTATGATATGAATGAAAGATGCTATGAAATGAAAGATTTCATAGCATATTCGACTGTCGATCCAAAATGGCGTTAGATCGCGGGCTTCTAATGTTTGATTCGAACGACAGCTGATTCATTAAAGTATTTCTACTGTCTTACAAGTTGATGGATCGGATTTATGTAGAAATATTCGTTGATAACGATCTGCTGACTGTTTAACAATGCTTTAGATCTTAATACTTATTTTACAGAATATATCAAAATTTTCCTATTCTAATTCATGTTCACACAGGTAAATGTAAAGCAAGATATTCCGAAAATCTTATCTATTATCAAACATTTTATGCATATGTGTAGATTTATGCTTTTCAGTTGTTTACCCTGGTACATAACGTTAACAGTAAAAAGTGGAGATTGAATTAGATTTCTATGTTAAGGTACCATCGCCCTATCTATTGTCTAGATTTTTGTTAGTAATTTCACACTTCAGTACAAATTAATTGGTGATCAGTAACACCTGTAGTTGTATCTCATTAGTTTCCTTAATAGTCTTTTAAAGAATCGGATTTCTATCTTTACTGTAACAGCTAAATAAATTTATTGTTCTTCAAACAGATTAGGTGTTTCAAAGCATTGAGCGAATCTTTGTGTAGTTCAAAACTCTTAGTCCCGTGACTTTTATGACTTGAGCTTAACAAAAACAGTTCCTAATTTAAACAGTTATTTATTGACTGTTTATGAAAAATTTAGTCATTGAACTATGATGATTGTATACCTAAATAAATACTACTAATATATACTAGTAGTTTGGTAGACTTTCATTTAGTTTGGTCATAATATAATATTTGACTGCTTAATAATCAACTTTAAATTTAATTTCACCTATTACCCCCAATAAAGCATAGTCCGCCGACTAGTATTATCCAACCTACCAGGTCCTGGGCTTCCCTTTCCAGTTCTGTCCAATTTTTGTCCATTCTTCTCATGTCTGTCTCCGTTTCTCGGCGTAATGTGTTTTTCGGTCAACTCTTTTACATTGGCCTTGAGGATTCTAGGTGAGGGCTTGCCTTGTGAGGCAGTTGGATGCTTTCCTCAATGTGTGTCCTATCCACCTCCAGTGCTTCTTCCTCCGCTGGAATCTGGTTTGTCCTCTCGCAGTGGGTTGTTGCTGATGGTGTCTGGCCAACTTTACTTGTTTAGATATGAATGCATTTATAATTCTTAACTTACACTAATAATATAAAGTGATAGTCCACTAATAAGTAAATATCATTCCAATAAAACATCATTATTTCAATGTCAATTTAACGTTATTCATTTCAAATTTGTGAATAGCAGACATTGTATGTGTTCTTTGAGAAAAATTTGTGTATTTCTTTATCTAATTCATGAGAAAATTTAGTTTTTTTCCGTGAAATGAAAATACTAATAGAAACAACAGTTTGATTAATTGACCAATTAACCTAATAATTTTGTATACCACGAGAAAAGCAAATTAGGCTAACTAAAAACAATTTTGTAAAATGGAATAGAATGTTTAGTGTAGTCTAAACATTTTACCTATTTGATTAGTAGAGATTTTTTTTAATTGAAAAGTTGAACAGCTATTTGCCTACAAATATCTGATGTCTTAAGGTTAAGGTAACTTTAAAAAGGATTGTGTAATTAACTGAATATTAGTTGACATTTGTCAGATTTGACAGAGAAAAATAATGATCGTATTTTAAGTTTCACTTCTAATTGTAAAGTTACAAAGGGTCATACAAGATTTCCAACATCGAGCAGTGTGAGATTAATGCAACAACTAGATCGCTTGATTTTTGTGATCGTTGTTGTCAGTGGCTGCTTGAAACTTTGAACTATGCAAGATGGTGAAATGCACATTGTAATCATACAAAGTTGTTTGAAAAGCATCATAAATACGTACATAGTCATTTGTCAGTCAGTCAGTCAGATGCAACGTAGAACTTCGTACCTAAGTACATCAGTTCATGTTGCCATACCACATCAGCGCAGAGATGTAATTGTCAATTCAAATCCAATGGTAGAAGAGGTAGTAAAGGTATTAGAAGTAATCGGAGAGGTTAGGATTAGAAGATATTATTCAAGAAGTATGATTCAGTGAGAAAAGTTTAGAAAGTCAAAACTAGAGGTGTTGAAGAATCCAGAAGATTAGGATTTGAGAGAACACAGAATAAATGCACCTGCGCCATTGCGAACGATTTTGAGCCATGTCATTCAGGGTCTCTAACCATCGATTATTATCATCTCGCGGACCCCAACTAGGTAGTCGACAATTACCGACATGGCTAAGTCCACTTGTCAATGACTTCATGGATTTGTGCCATGTTTTGGTTTGGCCGCCCCTAGCTTTCTTCCAACCTATTCCTACACTACAAAACAAAGCTCGTCGTGGCAGTCGGTGGTTAGGCATTCGTAACACATGTCCCAGCCACCTCAACTGATGAAGTTTCAATACTTCATCTATTGATCTGCCATTCTTACCGAGTACCCGTTTCCTAATAACAGCGTTGCCCACTCGGGTGTCCCACGATATAAGATCAATGCTTCGAAGACACCTATGTTCGAAAACCAGTAACCTACGAATATCTTCTACTCTGACTGGCCATGTTTCACAGCCATAAAGTAAGACGGAGCGAACTACTGCGCAGTACACTCGTCCTTTAGTCAGCAAATATCTGGCCTATACCATAAGTGACGCAGGTTGGCAAAACCTAATCGAGCCTTCTATATCCGTGCATAGTCATTTGTACTTCAGTACTACAGTTCACAAAAAGTTGACTGATTCTAAATCATGGTTATTCGGACATTTATAGCATTGAACAATGGAAAACTTAGTTTTACTTATTGTGAAGTGATGTTTCGTTTAAAAAATCCTATTGTATTAACACAACTTCAGTATTGGATAAACGAACATATCAGCGCACAGCAAAAATATACTTTTTGTTTTTAAGCACTTGACTATACAACCCCTATAAATCTCTAACCCTTCTGAACATTTTAGAAATAATTAGCTAAATTCACCATCATTTTGTGATTCGCCCTCAGGACTATCAGTCAATTCGAAGGTCTATCTTCTACTTAGTACAAAGAAAGATTGATGCCATAATCTATTCTCCCATATATATATATATATATATATATATATATATATATATATATCACACGTGAGGATCGAACCCAGAACCTTCGGTCTCATGCGAATGCTTAATCTCTAAGACCACTGAGCTGGCATATGATCTAAGGTATTGGGTAACCTCATCCATCGTCTTCGATAGTTACTGCTTATACGTGACAGGGTTGAAATTCACTAATCACAGCTTCCCACTAGAACTTTTTCACGATACTAGTCACCAGTGAGTACATTTTAGTATATTTATTATCAATGTTTCAAATGTGGTCTAACAATCATAGATTCATGATTTCAATGAAAAACAACTATCTCTGTAATGAAAAAAAAATATTATTTTCCTCAATTTGTAGTATTTATTCTTTTGAAATTTCGGAATTATATCTATCTTTTATTTACAGCTAGTATTCTAAAGCACAAACAGTGTTTCGAAGAATTTACACGAAAGAAATTCATACTGGTAATTTTGAAAAGATTTTTAGGAGCATTCTTTCAAGTGACATCTATGATAAATACAATCTACTTACATATTTTAATCTTAATGACACTTTGTCTAAGACAGTTTGTTTAAAATTCACAAAATAAAAATTGTGAATCTATATTAAAACTGTTATGTTCGTCAGTTGATATGCTTGAATGCTATTACGAGTTCACCTTAGTCGGTACATGGGAGCGAAGACAACACAATCCAGTAACACGATAGGCTACTCTAATCTGAGCGTCCCAAGGCCCCACTAAGTAGAGGAAGAAGTCTTGACAAGACGTAGAAAGTGTATTCTAAAAGCACCCAGCAAATATTGGGTTGACAAGCACAGAAATCGGGTTTATTTATACATGATAGAAATGTCCTTGTGAAAGCCACAAAAATAGTGTACTAAAATGACATCAAGCAATGACAGTGAAGGATTTTGCGGGTGGCAAAATGTAATCGCAAGGTCAACTAATCAGCCCATGTGCGAAAGCATAAAATCCAGAATTAAGACCTCTGTCAAGTGAGTTCTGGGGATCTAACGTCCCCAACAAAAACCAAATATACATCAATTTGACAAGTTTT